GCCATGGAGGTTTATGGGTTTGAGATCTGTTTTTGCTTGCAGGAGCTGCTAAGTCGTACATCTCTTGAGAGTCAGAAGCTCGATTTGCTGACTGAAGTTTCTGAGCTGAAGCTCAAGCTGGTGGGCATGGAGAAGGAGCAGAGAGAGCAGGAGGAGAAACAGAGAAAAGCAGAGGTGAGTGTGATACATCACGTTCTGGGGGGTGGGGGATGGGGGCACTGTCCTAAGTACAAATCAGGAGAAGCTATCCTAATGCGGCTTCAGAACATCTGGTCAACCCCAAGCCTAGCAGCTGCTGGGCGCCAGAAACATCTATGCACTAGATACACAATGATCTGTTAATACCAAGTTATCAGGTTTTGCAGTGGCTGCAGATTTCAGCAATGCCCAAACCACCCAGTTTTGGCTCTAAGGCTTTATCCTCCTTCAAGCTGCTGACAAGGATGGAAAGGGAAGCAGTAGTGGGGGAAGGATCAGAGAATACGCAGAGGGACACAAGATGTCTTCTGTGAGAGCCAAGGTAATGACCATGTCCTGGGACGAAGTCAGCTGCCCAACAGGCCAGCATCACTATCCGCGGAGTCTGGAGATACTCTTTGATGTGCATTTCACCAACCTGGATGGAACCCTTAGGTGATGTGTTTCTTTTCTCCTGATGGCGCATATGGATGAGCCTGTGCAGGCCTTCTCTTAGAGAATATTTACCTATGTTTTTGGTTTTTTTAATGGAGATACTGGGATTGAACCCAGAACCTCGTGCACGCTAAGCATGCACTCTGCTACTAAACTGTATCCCTCCCCCTGCCTGTGTTTTGTTTTTGTTTTTTCAGGCTCCATACACCATTGACTAGAGCATGCCAGACTCTTTTTTTTGGATAAATGTTTTGGATAAATTTTAGGCTTAGAGGTCCTTTATTTGAGAGAGAACAGCGTATTTTATTTAACCTTAGATAACTATCTTCTATGTGCCTCTACCTATAGGCCCGTATATTTGTACCTGGGATTGTGAGATGTGGAAAGAAGATAGCCTTTGGGTTTAGAAACATCTTGGCTTAATTACTGACCTAACTGCTTAATAGCTCTTTGAATGTCAACAAGTTAACTACTTAAATTCTCTGAGCTTCAGTTTTTTTAATCTGTAAAATGGGTAACTGATAAAGTTGAGCAAAAAAACCCACCAAAGTCTCTCATAGGATCTCGCATTTTGTAGGTACTTGGTTTACCCTCATTCTCTTCTACTATTTAGGCATCTCCAAAATCTAGAGATGAGTGTTATTCCTTTCTATTACATGCCAGCTTTATCCTGCACTGAAACCTGGCATATTTCTGTATTTATTGGGTAAACACTAGTGATTGAGATGCTTCTAGTGTGTGAGGCATATTCCTTACATTGCTTTTGAGCACAGGCTCAATTTCTCATTGGTTGTGTTGTTGTTAAGCATGCTGGAAGTGGAAATGGAGACCTAGATACCTTATTTGCTTACTGCAAAGTTCACGCAGACTGAAAGGTTATCTGTGTGAAGTGTTAGTTGAATAGACTCTGCTTCTGAAACCAGGGAGGAGCCATTTGAATTTTCTCCAAGTTTAGAGTTATTTTACCAATGTTTCAAGATGTGTGATCACGTGTGGATATACATTCATGCTTGGAGGCAGAATTCAACAAACTTTGTAAGAAGGCTTCAAGTAGGGACAGCTCAAAACCACTGAAGGAAGGAAAGAATGAAAGAGAGAAAAAAAGAAAAGAAAGAGAGGGAGGGTTATTAGGTCATACAACTGAAAGAGTCTAGGGTTTACAAAGCTGCTCTCACTGGATCCAGACGGTGTCACCATGTCATTAGAAATCAGGCTTAGTGTGGAGCATTTGGTTCTATTTTAGCCTTATTCTCAGGAAGGGTCTACCCCTGTGGTGACAGAGATGGCTATCAGCAGCTCGAGGTCCTTCTAGCCTGGCAACCCCTGCAGAGAGGGAGGTTCTGTTTCTCAAAGGGTCCAGCAAAAGCCTCAGGATTGCATCTCATTGGGTCAGTTTGGGTCATGTGCCTTGTTCTGAGCCAGTTACTTCAGGGAGCATGGACCCACGTTTGGGGTGTATGTTTGTGAGTGTGAGAGCCAGTCCATCTGTGGACGAGTGCTGAGTTAGTCCTGAGCTGGGGCAGCTCAGATCCTTTCTAGGGAAGACAGGAAGGAAGGGGAGATCCCATTTCTAAGCCGAGTACAACTCGGCAGTCATTTTCCTGCTGGCTTTCTTTTCTTTTCTTTCTTTTTCTTTTTCCTGACGGATTCTTTTTCAATCTGAATTTTTGTTTTTGTTTTCCATTAGGCTGTTCATACATGAGGCAGCATAGACGCTGAGCTGCTGGCCTCAGCCCTACCAGATAACAGCCCTTCCTTGCTAGTACAAACATTTTGGTTTCCACGTGGAGGAATTTTTCAGGCTGTTCAAACTTGTGATAATCAGCAAACAGCCACATGACCTGAAACAAATTTCTGATGCTTGTAATTGAACATAATCTTGGTTGGTATGCTCAGAACCTCCACCAGTATTTCTGTCTATCTGGGGCACCCGAAGCTTAAAACCACCGAGGGCTACTTAAGCTGCACTATTGTCATGTGCGTGGAGATGTTTATTTTGAATGAGATATTTGGCTAGCTCCGGTCAGCCGAGGTTGGAGTTGCATGAATAAAGGGAATGTTGCTTTCCATCCTACTCTGCTGCTGTTTTTCCCAGTGAATGTGCTTAGCCTGAGGCCTGATTGCTTGCGGGTTTAAAAAAAGTAGGACTTTTTTTTTTTTAAGGTAGCCAGATCTGAAACAAACTTTCTCCGTGTAGCTCAGGTTTTATCCTAAACCAGTATCCTGTTTCCCTGTAGTCAGTTGTGGAAGTGATTACAGATGTTTGTCTATAACCCTGAGGACTTCGAGGTGCAGGTTTCTTGTTAATTGGAGACAGTCTGCCAGCCATCCTTGCTCGGGGGTCAGTCAGCGGTGGCTCTAATGCGATATGGGTGAATACTGGACTTCCTGTCTACTTCACCTTTTCTCCTGAGCCTCTTGCAGTGGTTCTGGGTGGTTTCAGGGGACCCAAGATTGGACCAGTTAGGTTTACTCCTGAGAAGCAGGACTGCAGGAAAAGTGACGGACATGGAAAGTAAATATGACAATTAGGAGGATGGAACAGGAAAGAAAGAGATCCAGAGGCAAAGGAAGACCTCTGGGTGGCACACCTGTAGAAGGCGTGTCCCTTGGAGGGATCTTCCTTGGAGAAGGGCATCTGGCTTTCCTAAGCACTGGGGATGCAGGGAGATCCAAAGGGTCCTGCGTGTAGTACTAGAGCAGCCTCTACAGAGGGGAGCAGGGGAACGGAGTCAGCCCCGTTGGTCCATGATACACACGAGCATGAAGAGAACCGCACACAATCTTTAGGATTTGCTGGCAAAAAATGGAACGTCTTATTGCACAGATAGGGTTGTCAGACTTTCTTCCTGCTAGTGGGACTCTGGAAGGGAGGGATTCTGATGTCTGAACCGGGGCAATCGGAAGGATGAACTTGGAGTACAGAACAAAGGTGGAAAGATCGTGTTTGCTGAGAAGAGCTGGCCTAACTAGGAGAGTTTTATTGTTGTTGTTTTTATTTTACTTATCCGTTTATATTAGTATAGGAACCCTACTCTGACAATTAAAAGTTTAAGAGTTCAGAAAGGTATGTGTAGCAGAACCTCTCCTTCCATGCCTGTCCCCCAGCCAGCAGTCAGGCACCAATGTTGTCAGTTTGTTTAGTGTCCTTCAGAGTTATCGTATGCCTGGACAAGCGGATTTATGTGGTTAAATTCTTCCCCTCATTTTTGCCCAAGTGCACATTATTCTGGACCTTTTTTTTTAAATTTAGCAGTCAAGTAGAGTTCACTTCCGATCAAGTACATTGAAAGAAACTTCCTTGTTCATATTTATGTTTGCGTATTATTTCACTCTCCGACTGTGCCCTCGTTTATTTAATCAGTTCTTTTTTAAACATATACGTACATGTATATTATTCAGATTCTTTTCCATTACAGCTCATTACAAGAAATTGAATGCGGTTCCCTGTGCTGCACAGTAGGTCCTTACTGTTTATCTGTTTTATTTATAGCAGTGTGTATCTAGTAATCCCAAACTCCTAATGTATCCTTCCTCTCACCTTTCCCGCCTGGTAACCACAGTTTATTTTCTGTGTCCTTTGAGTCTCTTTCTTAACCAATTCTCCTTTGTGGACATTTAAGTTGTTCCGAAGTGTCTACTATTGCAAATAATGCTACTGTGAATACTCCTGGACATGTGAGGATATTGAAGTGGAATTGAAGGGTCAAAGGGTACGTGCACTGGAAATTTTGACAGATACAGAGGTTGTATGTCCAGCAGCAATATGTCAGAGCACCAGAAAATATTAAACTGAGCATGAAGGAGGAGTGAGGGAAGTCACGAAGTAAAATTGTGAACCAGTTTAGCATGTAGGATGGGCTGGGAAAGCCTGGGATGATGGGAGGTGCCCGGTAGTTTTCACGTAGGAAAGAACCATAAAAAAAGCACTTTGACGGTTAGCGCAGCAGGAGTAATAAACAAAGGAAGCTGAGATTACAGAACAGTGATAAGAACTTCATAAATATCACCCAGACTTGATGATGTGAGTCCCAGCAGTGGAACACGGGTGCCAAAAGGCTCTGCCCTTACGGGAGAGAAACAGACCTGTTAAGAGAGGAGGTGGAGGCCCTGGAGGTAGAAAGTTCTAAAAGCAAGTTGAAGTGCCAAGCCTGAGGGTAGATGTGTTGGAAAATGACACCTCCCCGTGGATGGGGAGAATTCAAGGAGAATGTGCAGAGGTGCTGGGGGTGGGGGCCCACGTGGTCACACAGAGCAGAGGAGGAAGGTAGATGCACTTCTGATACAAATCCCCAGACTGATGGAGGCAGACAAGGGCCAGTAATGGGAAGGGAGCAGCAATTTGAATAGCTGCTAAAAACTTCCTCCAGCTAAACACCTAAGTATGGGAAAGGTTGGTTTTTTATTTTTTAAAGTTTGTATGAGGTCTAGTCAGTTTCCAATATTGTATTAAGAAAGGTTGGTTTCTGTTTCTCCCCACCTTGTTGGTAGTTTCGGCCCTGAATGTAGAGAAAGAAAAGCAGGAGAACTGCCACTCTAGCTCTGATGCTGAAGCAAGAGGGTAACTAGTTGATGAAGAAAAAGTGATGGGTACCCAGAGAGAGAGTGGCCATTGTTGTTTTGAGAGCTCATGACAGCAAGGGAGGGGAAAACTCAGCATAGTCAGACATGCTCCCTAGACTTCAGTAAATCATACTTTGAAAGGTCAGAAATAAAATAGAAGAGATGCCTCAAGAATACTGAACTACTTACGAATAGAATTCTGGCCATGTAATCTCACAAGTAATACCAATAAAAAGGAAAAGCTTAGAGGCACCTTGAGAGAAGCTAGTTTTCGAAGGGGCTTGTACAAAAGATAGAAAGGACAGATCAGAGTGCACCTTCATGGGCAGCACCAGGAAGGGCAAGCCCCACACAGAAGGACAATGCTGAGGACAATGGAAAGTTATGTTCTCAGGAAGCTCAAAGAAAGAATGGGCTTGGTTCCACTGATGCCTCTGACAAGGGCATAGAACTCAGGACAGCCGTCCCTAAACTGCTCGCTGTAAGTGAAATTTAAGGAATCAGGAATCAAGCAAGTTTGAAAAACTGGAAGTAACTGCTTTCTTCTTCATCTTCGTTCTCCTCCCCTTTCTCTTCTCCTTTCTCCTTCCCTTCCTCCTCCTTCCTCTTACTCTTCACACAGAAAGTTAAAAAGGTTTTATAAAGTTTGGTCTTTTGAGTTCGAGGTCAACCCAACGATGGCTTATGAGGAGCTAGAAGACAAAATAGAGGTCTCTGTCCATTAAGAGTGCGTTACATCCTATCGACCTCATTGGTTTAACTGGGAACGCATCTTGTGGTGGTCGACCTGGTAAACCCGCACTTCAGCAAGGCATTGCAAAACCACTGCTTGGGATAGTCTTGTGTGGATAAGACAGAGGAATATAGGGCGAGTGCTAAAATAGGCATATGCTACCCAAATGGTAATGAATAGTACCTTAATACTACCTCTAGGAAGATATTTTGTAGAGGGTCACATCATCTGCCCATAGCCCTCTTGTCTGATGAGCATTTTCAGTCCACCATTTGAAGGCTGATATATAAGGACTTGAAGTTGTGAAGACAGGAAGCCAAGGACAAACTAAATGGAGCACTTGACGTTGGGATTCTTAAAGACCTACCTACACAGACTGGAGCGATAGATAAGGTGGCAGAAAGAGAGTCCAAGAGGGGCCAGAAGAACGTCAGTAGTGCAGAATTGCTGAAGGTGAGGAGCTGAACACGTCAGAAGGGAGCCACACAGCTCGAGGGCAGAGAACACGCACGTGGATGTGACCAGGAGGGGGCCGCTTAGGAAGAGGTGGTGCCCCTTGTGTGGTGGAGGCAGAGCTCCCTGGAGACTGAGGGCGGGAATGAGGTGGTGAAAATCAGGGTCAGTGGGTCCAGACTCCTCATTTGAGAGATGTAATGACGGAGGGACCAAGACAAGGGAGAGGGCAGTGGAGTTCTTGAAACTTACATAAGAGAAAGAAGAGCAAGTTTGAAGACTGGAAGGGCCATGGGCCAGGAGAGACCAAAGATTCTGGAGGAGAGCGGCCAGTGAGGTGAGCACCGTGGGGGATGTGGAGTCACTGAGCTTTCATTGTCATCGATCAGTGTCACGTGGGCCTTAACTGTGCCCTATGACCTTGAGGTATTTTCTGTTGCTCTCCCAGTTTCTCTCGTTCATTTCTTGTGAATCAAATGCTTGGTTACGACAGGCAAAGCAGTGGGGGAAAGTGAACTCACATTTATCAAGGGCCTCAGTGTGCCAGGTCCCATGCCAGGTACTTACTAAGTCTCAGTCAATTCAGTGAAGACAGTGGCAGACTGGATGAAAGCCAGGTCTGCAGGGGTTCGAAGCCTGTTCACGTTTCACCGCATCCCACTGACTCGTCAGAGCTTTGACACTGGTCAGAGGCTGAGTCTTCCTTTTTGGGAAGATGAAGGCTGATCGTTACCTTGAGGGATTGCTTTTGACTCCATCCTTAATAAACCTTCATTCTTCCTTCTGCCCCAGTGTTCTTGATTAGATGGTTAGATGTTTAAAAAAAAACAACCTCAATGCTGGTTAATTTGCAGCATTGCTTTTATCCACAGCTAACTTTTTTCTTCCCATGCCTCATAGAGACTGTTCTAAATTTGGACCCCCTTTTGCTTCACTGCTGTGTCCTTTTTAGCAGGCAACTTGGCTGCCTCCTTTACAGAGAAGAACAAGACCATCGGGGAAGATCTCCCTCGATGTCCTGTTTCTTATCTGGAAACCTACCTGGACCCCCACCTTGCTTTCCCTTTGTGCTTAGCTAATCCCTCCACCTGGGACTGCCAATTCCAGCTCCTCTCCTCCCTCTTTAATGCCTCCCTCTCCACTTTCTCAGTCCTCATAGGTAATCCTATGGCTCTACCTGCTGAACGATCAAAGCACCAAAAGACTTTGAGACTTCTTAGGAGAAAAATCAGGAACAGAATGAACATAGGCGGTCTCCCTGTCATGGCCAAGTTCATGGGCAGCAGAGACAGGGCGAGACTGTGACTCCTAATGGCTGAGGCCAGTCAGGCAGGAATCCTCTGCCCTTGTTAGGCATCTGAGTTCAGGCAGCAAGGGGTTCACAACCCTAGGGCACATAAAGCAAAGGGCAAGTGACAGCCCAGTGTCTGCAGGTGAGAAGTCAGAGCGTGGGTGTGGTCCCAGCCCATTGGTAAGTGTCCCACCAGGGTTCAGGGACCAGCAACAGCGGAGCTGGGTAGAGGTCTGGGGTCCAGCATACTTACTCAGGCCCGCAAGGGTCACCTTGATTTCTCAACCCAATCCTGCAGTCTTGGTAAGGAAATGCCTCTAGGCTAAGTTGGGAGAGCTGCTGGGAGGCTAGGGGCCCACTTATGACAGCGATGACTGCATTCATTGTAGCTCTCAAGTGGCATCCCTGGAGAGTAGAGCAGGCTGGCCTAGGGGCCTCAGCCCAGTCCCCTCTCAGCCCCAAGCTGCCACCCAGACCCTTGGGTCCGTCTGCCACCCAGGACAACAAGATGATGGGGGAGGAGCTCTTCTTTTTTTAGGAAACACTGTTTCTCTTGCAGATGGAAAACCTCTTTCTAGCATGGTTTCCAGTACCAGATATGGGTGTTCAGAATACCAGTAAAGGGGGGCAGGGAGGGGCTAAACGCTTGAATTGGCTGCCACCCCACCCACCCTAGGCTCTGTTTGGCTCTATGGCCAACTGTCTCCTTAACTCTGTATACCTTCCCCATAGGATGCTCAGCCCTCCCCGCCTCTTGGGCTTGTTGCTGCCATGAGTGGCACCGTCATCCACTCTGTTCCCCATGCCCGTCACTCCTCGTCTCCTCTACTCCCACACCCAGGCAAAGGGTCTAGAACATGCCTACTTGACATTGCTTAGGCTCGTCTCATCCCTTCCTCTTGACCTAGGCAGAAGCAGTCACTCACTACTGCCTGAAAGCCCCGTGGTCCTCTCAGCAGAGCATTTACAGCTCTTTGTGATTATTTGTGTCTCTCTCCCCACTCACCTGTGAGCGCCATTGCTTCCTGTGGCCTTGGGTCCCTGCAGAATTGACGCTAAATGTCTGCAGAGTAGTTAAAGGAAAGCCCAATAGGGCTGCTAGTGCAAGGGTCAGAATTGAGTAGGTATGGATTCCAAGGGTTGCGGATTTTCCGAAGTTGCCCTGAAAGACCAAAATGTTCTTGAGGCTGCGAAGGAGTCAGGTTTGGAGTGGGAAGCGAAGGAGTAAGATTTGGCATCGGGTACGAGGAAGAGCTTGGGGTTGGGGACATATAAGCATGCATGAGTGTGTTGTGCGCCGTCTGTCCCCTGTGCACAGCGTGTTTGGGGACAGAATTGGCGGGTGTAGCATGGGCTTGGGTAGAAGGGAAGTGTCCATGTGAACCGTTTAAACCTGTCTCCGCCGTTGAGAGATTCTGAGCTTCAGATATTGACGTGCAAGGATGGCCCCCAGTATGGCACGAAGGAGCAGCCAGGGGGCTGTTCAAACTGCAAGACAGGCCCACAGATGGGGCAGAACTCGGGAAAGATGCCACGTCTTTTGGTTCCTGTGAAGAAAGCAGGTGGTCACAGACAGCAACTGCTGGGTGCTGCCCACTCCTCGCCCGCTGCCCCTCTGCACGCGTCCGTCCTTCTGTCCGTGCTGCCCTCCTGAGGAGTGCTGTGCCTGAGAGCTGACTGACCCTGAGTGCTTTTTTCTCCTTTCTCTCCCTCCCTACAGTCGGTTCTGAATGTGATCAGTGAGCTGCAGGAGCAGATGTGTAGGCTGCAGCTGGACATCCACAGGCAGATTCAAGAGCGCCTCTCCCTCAGTAGGGACCGCCCCGAGGAGGAGGCCGCAGCCCCGCCCCAGGCCCGCAGCCGGCACTGTGCCTGTTGGGAGGGGTCCCCTGTAGGAAGCACGCTTAAGTATATCAGCGCATGCGTGTGTGGGGTGGTTCACTGGCGGAGGGGCTGGGCTTTCTCCTAACCAGGACAGTGTGCGGTGGCTTAACACGGGGCTGTGGTTCCCCCTGGGCAGAGCTCGGGACTCACTCTCCACCAGACGTGAGCTGAGCTCTGTGACCCTCACCAGAGCAGGATCTAAGCTGGTGAGGCCAACCCTCTGGCGGGTGGCAGCTCTCCCCTCCCTCAGGACTGGGAATGAGGTGTGTCAGGTGCCTGAGTGTTGGGGCACTGGGGCGAAAGGAAGCTTCAGGATTCCCCTTCCCAGGTATGACCCAGACCCTTTCTTTCTTCTGGGCTGGGAGATTAAATGAAGTTTCATTCCATGTGATTTTAAAGAATAAATAAATATATAAAATTTTTTTTTAATTTAGGAAAAGAACAGCATCATGAAAGAATCATTTCAAGCTCATTTTTAAAGAGATTTATCCCCAGTGAGGAAATAGAACACAGGTTTCCATAGGTCGTGACAATTGTCATAATCTGGATTTCCCGGAAAAGTTCTCCCACATCGTCACATAGCTGCCATCACACAGGACCTGGGGACACCATTGTGAGGGATTTCATGACACCTCAGGGCCCTTCGCACTGGTGTCACCAGGTCCTACATGGTGGCGGCTGCACAGCGATGAGCCTGTGTCTCCAAGGCCCACTATTGAAGCCTAAGGGAAGGTCAAGGTTACAGTACTCATGTCCATAGGAAGTTGCTGGACTGGGGAGCATGTTGAAAATCTCTATCCAGACTTGGGCGTGAGGGGAGAGGCTCGATGGGTGGGAAACATGAGTCAGGATGTAGGTGTAGATTTGGAAAGGGAAGCTCTGAGAGGGTGCTGGGCTTGCCCCACGGCGAGTGGGTCACCCCAGAGAGACTCGTAAAAGAAGTTACAGTGTGCTCCTGTGTTTATAGCCCACAGTGGGCAGCAGATAGTTCAGAAGGCAGAGGATACGCCCAAGGGGTTACAGGCGCCTGGAGATCATCGTGCTCTGTCTGTGTCCCCACAGTGGCAGCTTCTCCACAGTAACCTGCACACTTTAGGTTCTGCCATCAGCAGGCCTGGTGTCCCCTCAGGCAGGGCCAGAAGTGTTCTCAGAAAATGATCCTAGGTCTGCTGTAAGTCACGATAGGCCTTAAAGTCTAATGTTGCAGGTCATGGAGGCAATAATCTTAGCTCAGAAGACTTTTTTTTTTTTTAAAAAAGGCATCAACAAATGTTCACCTTAGCTCTAAGAAAATCTTAGTGAATATCCCTACAAAATTCAAGTGTAAGCGATGTAACTTTCTTGTGGATTGTCTCAGAATGCAAAAAGTTCCAGGCGAGTGAAATGATGGCTTGAATTTCATGCGTTCATTTAGCAGGAGATAATGCATACCTACTATGTGCCAGAGGTTAGCAAGACTCAGAGTTCACAGTAGAGGAGAAGTAGCCCTTAGCAGTCATGCCATTAAACGTTTAATTGCAAATGATGTAGGAGATAATGCAGGATGTCACAAGAGAGGATGACAGGGATGAGGTGCGGGGGTTGGGATAACAGCTCCGGGAGGCCTGAAGGATGGGCAGGGATCCCAGACAGAGCGAGCGGCGTGTGTGAAAGTCCAAGTCAGAAAGAGGAACCAAAAAGTATGTGGTCTGGCTGGAGCCTAACTGGGGAGAAACAGTAATAAATAGGCAGGCAAGGTGCTGGGCCAGGCCAGCCTGTGTTGGTCATGGGTTAAAGTTTATGAGCTTTGAGGAGCAGGGGAGGGGCCAGCGTCAGATTTGTGTTTTAGTCGTATTGTTTCCCTGGATGCCATGGGGGTCAGTGGATTCAAGAAGAGCAAGACAGCAGAGGACCAACCAGTGGAAAGACTGTCCAGGCTGTTAACACGAACCGCTCAATCGGACGAGTGCTGGTTGAGTTGGAAAGAAATGAGAGAGTGAAGTGATTTCCTTGGCGGTGGAATGAACAAGGCTTGGGGTTAACTTTCATATGTAAGGGTGGCAGAGGAGGAGGAGATGAATGGGCCAGAGCCCAGGTTCCTGGCGCAGCTGCCTACGTGGGTGGAGATGCCCTTCAGCGAGGCAGGGGTGTCTCAGAGCGGGCGCTGAGAGTTCCACTTGGGCCATGACGGTCGTAAGATGCCTACGTGCCATCCACGTAGAGATGCTCAGTGGGAAGTTTGTGCTGTGAGTCTGGAGTTCAGAAAGCCTATGAAAGTAATCACATTTGTACTAATTTTTCTGTTAGAAACCAGTCAGCAGGACTGTTTGTCCATTAAGGGAACCTAGATTTGGGACAAAGGTGGCCGAGTGGTGTCATCTTTACTGAGGGGTTACTTTAAAAAGCAGGGGTCCTGGGGTCAGAAAATAAGGCCTGATTTTCCAGGTCCCCCATGGGCAAGTTGTTGGAATGTGCCTTCCTTACTCAGCAACCCTCACGTGGCTCCCTACTGTCTAGAGAATGGTATCAAAACTCATTATATTCTTATCCCAAAGCCTTTACCATGTGTCCCTCCTTACTCTCCAGGCCTCATTTCCCACAAAATGCTGCCCATCATCTGCTCTCGCCCAGCAGGCTATATCTCCCTTTGTGCCTCCTGTCTTTGCCTTGTTCCTAGACACCTCCGCCCTCCCTCCTTTCTTTCAGGCCAGCCCCCTCCTCTGAACTGGAACACCCCAACCGGCCTTGACATCTCACACTCAGCATTTGTCCTTTTGGTGTCTTGTGTCAATCCTCCTGGCTGTCACTTCCTCTGTGAAGCCTTTCAGGATCACCAACCCCTCCTCTGGGTTCCTCCGCCCCCAGCAAGAGAGATGCCCCCAGTTGGCCTGCTTCTCCCTACCTTGTTTGGAAGAAGCTGCCTCGTTTCTGCATCTGTTTCTCTTGCTCCCAAATCCTGCCTGCCCTGCCCCCTACCCACCCACATGGGGGTGATTTGGGCACACCCTGCAGGGAATGCTGATGTCAGAAAGGGGTGAGCAGAATGGGTTCTGAAAAGAAGAAAGTTGTCTCTGTCTTCTGTCTGGAACTCCCTGGCCTTTGTTTTTTAATGGCCATACAGCTTTTCCTGAAACAAAGACCGTGTTTAAAGATGGGAGCTGCAGTGTGGGCATGACACAGTTGCTCCTGCCTTGGCATCCTCTGCATGAGCTTAACCAGGGTTAGAGCCAGGGAACAGCCTGCTCTTTAATCATCAGAGCTTTGTCTTTCTTCCTCACCCCTCTAGGAGTTACTGCAAGAGCTCCGGCACCTCAAAATCAAGGTGGAAGAGCTGGAAAATGAACGGAATCAGTATGAGTGGAAACTGAAAGCCACCAAGGTAAAAGGCGGTTCTGATGTTTAATGGAGAGGCACGGGGGCCCAGTGGGGAGGGTCCGTGTCCAAGCTCGGGCTTTGCAGTAGCCGAAGCTTGAGAAATGAGAGCTGACCCCACTGTGGGCACACGCAACAGTGCCCAGGTTGTGCAGGCAGACAGATTTGATCCAGCAGGGCTCTTCTCACAGGGAAAGCCCATGAGATTGTGAGCTGCTGAAATCACTTGAGTTTCCTTCCACTCTCCATGTCCCAAAGCGCCTCAGGCTGGTGCTGGGCAGAGCCAGGGGCTCTGTGAGGGAGTGATGAGTCCTGGGGCAGTTGAATGCCAACATTATCTTGGCTGCATCATTTTAAATCCAGCAGTCCCTCTAATCATCAAGTTCTAAAAAGAGGCATGCATTATTTTTAGCAATTTCTAAAAAGATGATACATACTTTTGGTTTTTAAAAAACCAAATCATGTTTCTGTCGAACTGGGGAGCTTGCTATTTAAAGGACACCAACGATAGTTTCTTCTGTGAAGTAAATTTTTTCTTTCCCTCCTTTGTTTCTTCCTTCATTTCCTGTAGTAGTTGAGATGGATGGATTCAGCCTATACATTTGTTGTTTTGGCCAGAACATTGTATTTAAAAAATGTCAAATAAGCTGTCACTTAAGCATGAGGAAGTTTCACATTAAAATACAGAATTAGAGTTCTCTGGGGATGGGGGTGGGGTGTGCTAGGGTTGGGGAAGGGAAGTTCTAAAACCCTGAGGCAGCTTTCCTGCCTGAGGAGCTGGCCCGGGCTGCCTTGGATGGGTGCACGCCTGCCTTTCCGCTAAGGGTTCTGCAGCGCCCCCCGCGGGTTACTGGATGGCCTCGGCGGTGGGCATTTCATCTTACAATTTTCTCAACTTCTAGTTTGTACTTTCAGTTTTATTTTCTCTGTAACTTTTAATAATGATAAAAACAATAATACTCATTACAGATCATTTTAAACCACAAAAAATTAAAGAAATAAAAATCACTTATACACCACCCAGGAGCTACCACTATTAATATTTCCTTCCAGGCATTTCTCTCTTCAGATCTCTCTCTCTCTCTCTCTTAATTTTTAGTGTTGATAATTTATACACAATTTTATACCATGCTAGTAAAAGGAAACTCTGAACATGTTGTATAAATGTAAAATAATTTTCTTAACCATTATACAGATGAGGAAACTGAGGCACAGAGTAGTTAGGTAACTTTCCCAAGATTTTACAGCTAGTCAGCACCAGCCCTAGGCAATCTGCTTGTTCATCTGTAGCTCTGTTTTTATCTAAGGTGTTGCTGGCATTAGGTTCTTGACTCCTCCCAGAAAGAATTCAGAGACGAGACACAGAGGTCAAGAAAGTAAAGCGAGGATTTATTAAGTGATAGTTCGCTCTCAAGGGGAGAGCAGACAGGCTCAGGTGAGCAGCTTCCCTGAGTTTCTTTGGCAAGATGCTTACATAGGCTGTAAAAATGAATGGGTGGAATATTCACTGGGGAGGGAAGGGTTTGGGGTCATACTCCCTGATTTTCATCCCAACACCCCTACCCAAGGGGAGGAAGGATTTTTGTCCTCATTTACTCTGGATTGGAAGTGTCATGGCATCGGTGCATGATGGGTACTTCTGATCTGCAAGGCTAATTCTGTTGAAATGAGGGCGTAATGAGCAAAAGGTTACATTTGGACACTGGGGATTTCTGCCTTTTTCCACTTTTCTTTATCTGCCTCCAGGTCACTTATCACCCCCAAATGTGTGATTTCTTACCGGTCCAAAAGTTCCTGCTTGCTTCTATCTGCCCAAGGACCCCTGTTGTTTATATCATGTATGGTTTCCTGTATTTGGCCTGTGTCCCTCCTTTTTTGCCCAGTTCCTGCCATTTGGCCTGTGTCCCCCTTTCTCTGCTCATACCTAGCTACCTGCCTGCTCTAGCACAAGAGTGCCCTTGTGGATTGTTTCACAGTGCCCAGGTCTAGGATGACTCTTTCTCAAATAGCTCAGGACCTTCCATCACTGTGATCCCCTCAAGCGACTCCTTTGAAGTTGTTCACACCACCTTCTCTTACAAAACCAAACAACGCTTTTAAATCACCTAAGTACTTGACCTTGGCTTGTAGACCTTTGAGACGCGACAGGTTATGCAGTAACGACCAGGTCTGGAGCCCCTCGTGTATGCTGGAATGGATAAAGCCCTTTGCCCAGAGGTTCTCATTCGGTCCATACAATAACCCAGGGAGACCTGTCGGTTGATTATCTTCATTTGACTGGTAAGGAAACTGAGGCTCAAAGTAGGCAAGGTGAGGTTCGGATCTGGATCTATGTCATTCCAAAACTCACTCTCTTTCCCCTCTTCATCCTAATTCCCTGCAGTAAAAACCTGCCCTGTTTTGAAAGTTATTCAGTTTCCTGTGTAAAGCTTCTCGGTCCCTAAATGTGACTTACCTTTCAGTGCAGCGGCAGTAGGGCATGCTCCTGGGCTTAAGAAGGCCCAGCACTTGTAGGGGGGCAGAGCGCCTGTCTCTTCTTTGTCCCAGACCTCTTGCCACGTGGCTGGAGCCTCAGTGGCCATGGCAATAGCATACTTTGCCCTGGGTTCCCTCTGGGCTATTGTCAATTTAGACTTCCCGGCTTGGGGCAGATGCCTCTATAAGCCTAACAGAGCACCTGCTGTTTCTGGCCTACTCTGTGGAAATTGCATTCAGGAAGTTGGGCCCAGTTACTTGATCTGCAGAGTTTTGAATAAATGACCTCACCCAGAGGCTGGCCTCAGAGTAGGTGCTCAGTCCATGTGTCCTGAAACCGGACACAGGCCTGTTTGCTGGTAGAGTCAACAACAGAACCAGTGCTCATTTGGTTACTTGAGCTGTTCCAAGATTATCTTGGGAAAGGACCAGCCCGTACCATAACCTTGAGGAATAAAGGTGGGATGTGATTGGGCTACCACATGGGGAGATGGTGCCCAGAGTAGAAGCTTCTATGTGTTCTGTTGATTGGCTGGGAGTCCATTCTCACCTCCCTTGCTTAGTCTGGTTTGATGCTCAAAGACCTGGCTAGTTATCTGTAGGGAGGGAACAGGGGGAGAACAACAATAGTAAATAGTAAATAAAATTTATTGAGAACTGTCTATCTGCTGAGTGTTAGGCCAAGTTGTCCGTAACCATTATCATGTTTAATCCTCACTCCAGCCCCATGGGGTAAGTGCTATTTTCCTGGTTCTATAGATGAGCCAAGGCTCCATTTAACTCACCTCCCCAAAGTCACCTAACTAGGAAATGAGAGAATCCAAGTTTGTTGGACTCCAAAGCCAGTGTGAGTGTGCCTCCTGGGATGTGACGTCCACAGTGCTGAGTATGGGAAGGCATGGGCAGCCACAGCTACTGTTAGGTGTGAGATTTACTCTGCTAGACTTAGTAGACACTTGGGAACCACACATCGCAGCTGCCCCGTGAATGTGTTTATGCACCTGTGTTGTGCTTACGTGCCTGATTTGTGAAAGTATGCACACTCTGCACACCTGAATGGACGTCTGTAATTACACTGGGGTAAAGGAGCACAGGTGTCTGAGGCTGGGCAGAGGCAGTGGCTGTGCATTCAGGGTGGGAGAGTTTGAGGGAGGGAACTCTGGGCTCACTCTTTGTCTCCTAGTAGTGATTTGACTTCTGCTTTATTTCCTGGATGAGGTGGAAAAATGAAAGTTGTGTGTTCTTGTGACAATGCTGCACGGACATGCTGTTGCAGGACTATCTTGGGGGAAGGAAGAACCTGTCCAGAAAGCAAATATCCATCTTTGGACCAAGGGCAGCCCTCCCATTGCACATAATCCCACCTCCTCAGGCTTCAGTGGTGTTTGGGCTACAGAAGGCAGAGGAGGGAACGCGCCTGGTCAAGTAGGAGGAGGCAGGAGAGAGAGCAGGTGGATGGCCAGAGCCTTGGGCATGGCCAGAATGGCCAGGAAGAGTGCGTTCATTGGACAGAGCTCTGCTTTGTGGGGACGGCAGTGAGACCTCTTAACAGCTCACCTCACTTCTGGCACTTTGCTCCTAACTTCCTAACATGTCCTGGGGCCCACTGGCCCTGGGCTCCGACTTGAGGTACTTCGTCGTGGTCTGGTTGTCCCTCTGAGCTGATCCGGCTCCTCTGTTGCTCTTCCAGGCTGAGGTAGCCCAGCTGCAAGAGCAGGTGGCCTTGAAGGATGCAGAAATCGAGCGTCTGCACAGCCAGCTGTCCCGGACCACAGCTCTCCACAATGACCATGCAGAGAAAGGTAACTGGCTCGACTGTGACCGAATGCAGTTGCCCCTGGGCCCTCTCTTGTAAGAGGGCATGTGTGTCTCTGGGTGTGTGTGTGTATGGCTGTGTGCAGCATGCGTGTACGAATAAGTCCGTGTGAATGGATGTGTGCAGTACATTTTAATTGTGAAACACACACAAAGGGATAAGGCACTATAATAGTGGATTCATATCATTATACATTTGTTCAAATCCACGGAATGTACAAAACCAAGAGTGAACCCTAATGTTGGTTCATCAGTTGAAACAAATGTACCATTAGGTACTAAATGTTGATAGAGAGGTGGCACTTGTGTAGGGGTAGCAGGTATACGGGAACTCTCTGTAAGTCCCCTCAATTTTAGTGCAAACCTAAAGCTGCCCTAAAATACAAAGTTTATTAAGAAATAAGGTACAGGATAAATCTTCAAATATTCTTATTAATATGTATTTAATATTTACAACTGTTGCCTTGTATACAAAATGATCGCACACTTTCCAGCTTCTCCAAAACGATGCTGGAGGAGGTCACATAGCCCTGTGGATTGGCCCCACTACCGAGCCTCATCTTGGCCCCAGCCCTGCTCAGCCTGGGTCCCTGGCTGAGGTGGGGAAGCCATGCAGCCAGGACACAGTGGCTTAGGCTGGAGAAGGAAATTAGTAACCAGTATGTTCATCCTTCTGCCAGCCTTTCTCAGTGTCTTCCCAAGCCATTGAGTGTGTCACCTGCCTGCCAAGGCCTAACATGAAGCTACTTCTAAGATACTCTAGACTACCTGTAATGCTAAACTTGGATGGAGAGCTCCCCATGCCATGACTTCCAGGCCAGGCAGGCTTCCCCCCGCATCCCATGTTTCCCCGCAGCCCAAGCCTTCCAGGCCCTACCCTGTTCCACCATCAGGTACCTCCTGGAGCTGGTCCTTGGGTCATTTGCTGCTCAGCATCAAGGTTTGCCCATCTTCATCTCAAGCTTACTGCCCTCTCCCACCACAAACTGGGCTGCAAAGTTAATCTTCAGCTGCCAAGAGCCCAAGATAATGAGCAGCACTCTGTACTTTCCTCTGAGAATTAATCCCTACAACTATATACACCAAGTCCGTAAATCCATTCTTCCGGTTCTTGTTGGAAGGAGATGGGGTGCCTGTAGGTACTTCTGTGCCCTTGTCTCCTGTTCTGTTCTTACACAGACGTCCCTATTCTCTTTGCAGTTCCCAGTTTGTGGATGGGTGCAGGGCTTGTTTGGAAAATTTCACTCAGTGCCAATTCCTAGCCCTCAGTACTTTGGCAGAATACCCCCCTCCCAGCTCCTTTAGGCTTTGGCCTTTGACCTGGCTCTCCAGACACATTGGGGAAGAATTTAAGAGTCCCTCTTGGGTCCAGAATGAGAGGTGGCCCCGTGTTGTCCATCATAGACTGAGGCAGATGGCTCGGCCCACAGGGCAATTCTGTAGGTTTGTGATGAAGTAGCATTGTTTTCTTTAACCTTAGGGTTTATCTTAATATAGTTACAGATGCATCTAAACGTTGTTAGTCACCTCTGACTGTTCCCTTCGCAATTAACTTTTTACATAGTCACTTCTTTTCCCATGGCATTCAGTTCATTCAGCTGTAGATGTTGTTTCTTCTTATTTTAAATTTTCCTTTGCTACAATCCGTGGGACTGATTGTATGATTCTCTGTAAAACTTGTTAGCAGCCCAGGGACATGCCTGCTCAAGTTATAAAGGATAAATGTCTGTTTTCTTGTGGGATGTTGCTTGTGAAAGATTTGAGGGTTCCTCTGTGTCACCTTTGGGTTAATGGCATTTGGGTTTTTTGCCCCCACAAGTGTCTATAAGGAAGACAAATACTGGGTTCACTTGTTTAATAGTCTAGCAAATATTTAATGAAACTGACTCTATGCCAGTACCATCGTGGGCTCTTGAAGGACAGAAAGAAGTCCACGTGCAGTTTGTTCACATGGAAAGTCTTAGCATCTTAATGTGTGGGAAGAGCTGCCTGCATTTACATAAATAATTCTTCCTACACCTGAATTCTTTAGACCAAGAAATTCAACGTCTGAAAATGGGGATGGAAACTTTGCTTGTTGCCAACGAAGATAAGGTAAGATGGCCATTGGATGGCCCTGTCCTTTCTCTGCTGACATCCCTGGTTCTGTTTGGTCCCTGCTGGTTGCTGCTGTTTTGGACGGGGCTGTGCCCATCAGGCCGGTGACTCAGGGAAGTGTCAGGAGAACCGGCTCTGCCTCCTGGAGACTCAGCTCAGCCACCTGTTCTTGGCTTTGATGCCTGGGAATTGTGCCTAAATGGAATTCCCCAAAGACAGATTAAGGCAATGCCTGTTCATGGCTAGCATAGCTTGAGAACAGTCTGCCAGTCTCTCATGTGCACAGTCTGGTGATAGACCCCTCACGGGCAGACCCACCATGACACTCCTGATAGACCTGTCAGTTGACCCTGTCTTCTTATGTCCCTCACATTGAATTCCTGCATAATTATAAGACAGCCACCTCGATAATGTTGGAACACCTACCTAGCACAAACATCAGCTCCAGAGGATCACAACTCTGTATTTTACAGATGAGGAAACTGAGACTCAAAGCGCTTAAGTGGTTTTGCTCAAGTTCAGGTCACAGTAGATAGCCAGAGCGAGGCTCATACCCAACCTTAACTCTGAGTCTGTGTGGCCTCCCGAGTCCCTAGCCTTTGCTGAAAGAAATGATCCCTCTGGGAATTTCCTCTTTTGTGTAAGGAATCTGAGACTCCTAAGGAGGGGGTAAGAATATTGGGATAAAGATGACGGTTTTATTTTAGTCGTGTGTGTGTGTGGCGTGTGGCTCCAGAGGACACCATTGATATCAGGAGGCAGATTTCAGTTGCTACCTTAGGAGGGCAGGGAGACAGTGAGTTTCCTGCTCTTGGAAATGTTTAAGCTCCTCGAAGGCTACGCCAAACAGGGATTGCTTTATGACTAGAGTTTGGGCTCGCAGCCTTCAGCTAGAGGCAGGAGTGCTTGCAGTGGCCTAGGAGGCAGACCAGTGAGAACCCAGGTTCTGGGAAGGAGCTGGATACTGTGTTTCCCTTTGGCATGTCCTGTGGGTTCCACATAGCATTTCTTCTTAGTGTGCCCAGAACGTAGCCTGGGGCCCCAAATGAAGTCACCACCGGTGCCACCAGTGTTGTTTATATAGATATCTATCTCACCCTGTGACAGGACCGCCGGATAGAGGAGCTTACTGAGCTGTTAAACCAGTACCGAAGGGTGAAGGAGATCATGATGGCAACTCAAGGTAAGGGCAAAGGGGAGCCTACATTGTCTCCCCAAGATATTCCGTCTATACTGGGTTAAATCCAGGGACCATCCTGACAGAAGATTCTTCATCTTTTTTTTTAATGGGAGTACTGAGAAGTGAACCCAGGACCTCGTGCATGCTAAGCACGTGCTCTACCACTGAGCTATACCCTCCCCCAGATTTTTCATCTTTATTTGGGAAAATGCCCTGCTGAAGAACAGAGCTGGTTACATGGTCTTGGATAGTGGGCAATCGGCAGCTGTTGATTTCCAGAAATTTTGCTGATTGGCAGGCAGTTCAGAACTTCCGGGGACTATCCAGGTCACCAAGAAAAGAAAGCCTTCAGCTTGAACCACTGGCAGTCTTCACTCGTGGGAGATTATGCATCTTCCTAGGATCTCTCTTAGCGGCAGTGAGTGTGGTCAAACCTGGATCAGAAGTCAGCTTAGTACCCTCACTGGGGATTAGAGCTTTTCCACCTCCCGGAGAATCTCAGAGTTTCCCCAGCAGACTCCGGGACACTTGGAGAGCCTTCTTTGAGCTTCTGGGCCCCGGGGTTCCCCCAGGAGGTCACAGGGCAGGGAGAGCGAGAGCTGATTGTGTTTCATATCAGCTGCCTAGACGGAAAGCACCACTCAGGCCGCATCACTGTTCTCTGTGCACTGTGGAGTGTATGCCAGGCTGCCTGCCTTGTTCTTGCCGTGGGCCTGGGCTCCCATCACAGACCCAAGGAAACAGCTATTCAGGGAGAGGGCTGCTGGAGGGTGTTCAGGGGCCTCGTTCCGGCTGAGCTGCCGCCTCATCTTGGGAAGAAGCCAAGCCCGAGCTGTGGTTGACTGGTTGCCACCCAGGGCCCCTGCCACCCCCACACACGTCACAGTCCTGTTTTCTCTAGTCCTTTGAGATCCTGGGTTAGTTCAGGGCTTGATTGCCTGTGTCCAAGGAATTGAGAAGGTTGGAGAGGAATGATGAGGGGGTGCTTCTTTCTGTTCCATGCAGGAGCTTTGACATTGAGGTGACCCTCATGGCAACCCTTGGCTCAGATGCCCTGAAGAATATTCTGAACCACACTGTTAACATACCTTTATTTGTTTTTTTTTTTGTCCTTTTTTGTAATGGATATATATTTTTTGATAGGGGGAGGTAATTTGATCGATTGATTTAATGGAGGCACTGGGCATTGAACGCAGGACCTTGTGCGTGCTAATAAGCACGTGCTCTACCACTAAGCTGTACCCTTCCCCCCTCTTTGTCCTTCTTAATGATGGAGAAATAACGTAGGGATTTTGTGATACAATTAGAGGTTTCGGAACAAATCACATAATGGTAATCATCTCTTCTGCATTAATGTTTCCAGGCCCTTCGGAAAGAACTCTCTCAGTCAATGAGGAGGAACTGGAGGGAAGTTTCAGAAAGTGGAACACTGCAAATAAGGGCCCCGAGGAACTATTTAAACCAGAGGTAAGTGTGTTTACATCCCTGATGTGGGGTGTCAGCAGGCCCCAGCAACTTACCCTGGGCTTGAGGGAAGGTCTAGTGAGGAACTTGCCAGGTATAAATCTCGACAGGTAAAAAAGTTAACTCAGTGGAGCAACCCCAGAGGATATGGGGGGAGAGCCCTGAAGGAGGGAATGGGCCAGGGCACAGGGCTGTGTTCTGGCTGGGAGGAATGGCATAGTGGCTACTGGACTTCCAAGGATAGGAATTTGTTTTTTTCAATTGGTTCCTCATTTATTCTTGCCTTTCCTCTCAGGAATATAAGCATAGACCAAAGGTGACCTTTGTTTTATTTACCACCGTCTCTCCAGTATCTGCAAGAATGCGTGATACCCAGTAGAATTCCACAAACACTTGTTCAATAAATGAACGCATCCTGCTCGTTTAGAGGGATGGCTACAACTTTTGAAATGATGTACTCCTATTTCATAGACAACCTCCTGTCCCTCTAACTTGCATACAGATTTCCTTTTCTCTTCTTTAAAATCTGGTCCAGTTCTGTGAATCTCTCTGGATTTAGGCTCAATAAATAATAAGCAAATAAACTTGTAGACAAAGATTTCAGATGTAGAAGGGGCTTCAGCCCAGGATTTAAACAGTCTCACTGGAAACTCCAGGACAGTCACACTACAAAGGATCGTAGCAGTCCAGCTCAACTTTCCAATTAAGAGAGGAGCAAAAGTGTCATCCAGTGACCCAGTTATGTGGTCAGCAGGCATTCCAGATTGCTGGCAAAAATAAGATAATAAAATAATAAATGCTCAATACCTCTGGGTGGTCTTTGTGATGAGTACTGTACGTGACTCACCTCATTTACTCCTCATGACACCCCATTGGGATTCCTCTTTTATTGTGATGAAGCTGAGGCTCAGAGAGGGTAAGTAATCTGTTCTATGTCACACAGCAAGTAGATGGGGGAACTTGGATTTGAACTCAAAAGCCCAGGCTTTAAACAACCATACATACTATAATGCCAGGTTTTGAGCTATAATAAGCCAAAAAGATCCTGGGCTCTAGAGAAGAGAGGCAGTCCTTGTAGTCAATGAAGACATCAGACCGCGTCCTTATCCACCACCATTAACTCGTTCCACCTGTGAAACTCTTGCCTCTTACTTTCTCGCTCAGCTAGCTCATTCTCATTTCTAAAGATTCAGCTTAAGTGTTCTCCCCTCTGAAGCCTTCCTAACCTGTCCACCAACAAGAAGGATCCCCTCCCCACCATCCCCATGTTATGTTATAGGTATTGGTCCCAGAAGGACAAATTGCATTGATCTTTTACCCTAATTAACTCATCTACCTTCCTTATGTGGGGAGTGCTTGCCCCACACCGAGCACAGGGCCTGGCAGCCAGTAGGTGTTGCTCATGTTTGTTGAACGACTGTATGAATTGCAGCGTTGCTCACTGTAAGCAACAGAAATCAATTCCAGCTAACTTACACCAAAAAGGAAGTTTTTGAAAGGGTGCATGGTGGCTCACTGAAAGGAAAAGCTGAAGGAGCCAGCTCAGAAAGGGCAGGGGCGGCAAAAGCCCCAGGGATTCAGGTCTCAGGACTGACTTGTCAGGACTGTAATTCTAGGAGGTGAACCTAGGCCCTGGAAGGCGAGGCAGGTTGGCCCAGGTTGTTCAATGTATCTTCGTCTTTGGCATCTTAAAAACACCAGGCACCAAAACTGACAGAGCCACCAGGGCTGCACGCTGGGGGTGGAAATGTACCTCCCCAAGAGGACTTGTCCCAAGAGGGGGAAAGGATGGTGGGTGGTCTCTGAACAGTAACCGTGCTCCTCAGTGACTCTCCCGTTCCCCGTGCAGATGTCTCCGAGATGTAGCTCTCCGACCATGGGGCCACCTCCACTACCACAGAAATCATTGGAAACCAGGTACGGGACCCAAGCATTTCTGTGGAGCTGCTTCGCCCTCGGACCCACTCAGGGCTCCTGACATGGCAATGGCTGGCCGTGCACGGGGAGCACAGCCGCCATGTCCTGGCCACACCTGACCTGCCACTGTCTGGGCAGCACTGCAGGCCCCGGCAGTGGCCACAGTGGGGCCAACGTGGTGGAGCAGTCATGAGCCATGCCTACCTGCCCGGGCCCCAGAGGAGCTTCCATTCCCGCAGGCTGAGGGTCTGGGTCATTGTCACTGAGAAAAGACCTGGCCAGGGGTTGGGGCCTCAGAGAAGAGGTGGCCGCACCTCATCTGTGTCCTCCAGTGTCCCCACGGAGCTGAGAGCATCCTGTGATGTGTGCCTGTCTTTTCTGTCAGCCCTTCTAGAGGGAGTCTAGCTCTGTGACAATCCACATTCTCCCAGGAGGGCCATTTCTCCACGCAGGGAAATCGGTCCAGCTGCTTTGAGGAAGCTTCACATAGCAGTGAGCTTGCAGTGGGCTGGCCTGCGGGGTCAGCGGCCATCTGACTGGTTCTGTTGAATACGAACCTATTTCTAGTTCCGTGTGTCAGCTCTTTAGAACATACTTCCAAGTAATGGGGATCTGGAGCTTCACCGCCAAGAGCAGGCTGTCTTTCGGCCAGGGTGTCTGGGGAAGACGGCCACGAGCAGGCTGGAAGTGCCCTGGAAGGTGCTGAATCTCCAGAGTTCTGGAGCTTATGCTCTCAGAACCCCATTTGCCAGAAGCCATTGTTCCCTGAGCCTTCAGCCCCAGAGAAAAACAGCAGTGTCGAGGAGGGCAATTGGCCAGCCCTTGATTTGGCAGAATAAGAAAGCTGGTTTATGAGTTCACTCAGGAGGAGGTCAACGCCAAGTGACTCACACTGACCAGACTCACAAGAGACTAATGTACTCACAGATAATGATTTATCCATATGAATTGAGAAATGTCACTGCCAGGGAGACTTGTCATAGAGTAACCCTTAGGACCACTGGTGGTATTGCCTCTTCTCTATCAAATTGGTGCCCTTCTCTGCAAAATAACCCCTGAGAAAGCAGATTCCTTTGAGCAGACTGGTCAGGGCGTACAGAGCAGAGGGTTGGAGGGCCCCAGCAGGGGGTGCTTGTCCCCACTCCAAGGTGACACCACCTCCCTCCATGGATTACTTGCAGACTCACAGACAAGGCAGTATTGTCCCCACAGACACTGGCTGTCTTCTGACCACACCATTGCTAGCTTGCACTGAATTAGGAGAACTGAGTGTATTCTAGCTTTTCAATGAACACCAAGGACTTCTGATTTGGATTTAAGTGATGCTCTTGTACCCTCGTTAGCATGTTGCCAGACAGGCCATCCCCAAGGTGGGCCAGTCTCATCTTACGTGTAATGGTTATGATGAGAGGGTCTTTTTTTTCCCCTGACCTTGACCCTAAGCCCAGGACAGACTATCAGTTAAACGTTTGAAACATCCTCTGTATGAATGGTACCAGGTCCCTCTTTTCCAGTAACTGTTTCCTCATTGACGTTCTTTTGTGTTATTTCAGGGCTCAGAAAAAACTCTCCTGTAGTCTGGAAGACTTGAGAAGTGGATCTGTGGATAAGGTCAGCCCATCAGTCTATCCGTAATGTTTACTGAGTTCCTTCTTTGCACCCGGCACCGTGCTGGGCTACACAGGCAGGAGCTGGTCCCAGCTCATGGGGGCTTTTATCAAGTTGCTGGGGAGGCTTAGAATTACATGAACATCTTGAGAAAACCAGTCAGGTGAGAGGCAGGGTGAGTCGGGATGCACTGCCTAGAGTTGAGGAGGGAGGATGCTGAGATGGGCACAGGTGGGTTTTGGGAAACAGTGGGGAGCAGGAGGAGGTAAGGTCAGAGCCATGAGTCGGATGGAGCCGGAGAAGATCTTGAATCCTGGCCCTATTTCTTCAGGGAGTGTGCAGAGATTTTGAATGAGGATGTAATGTCTATAAAGGTGATGACCCTGGGATGGGTTATAAGATAAAGTAGATCGGAGAGGAAACTTTTTAAAGAATCTAGAGGCCTGGGTGGTGGGGGTGGGTAATAGCTCAGTAGCAGAGTGCGTGCTTAGCATGCACAAGGTCCTGGGTTCAATCCCCAGTGCCTCTATTTAAAAAAAGGAAAGAGTCTAGAAAGACAAGAGGACATGAGAAGGGTCTTGTGGCCTCTTGTATGAAGGTAGTCCTTGTTCAGGTGGGTGAGCCCCGTGCTGCTGGAGGGGAGGGTGGCAGGCTCTTGAGTGGTGAGGTTGCTGGGGATTCTGGGGTCCTGTCCTGACACAGCACCCTCACTGACCTTGCTGCATAGATCCCATGGTGTCCGGCAGTGCGCCAGCCTCCCTGGTGACACAGTGGAAAACCAGAGAGGCTGGAGCCGGTGGCGTCTTTGCTCCCATGGTCATGTGCCCCAGTGCCATACTGCTGCAGCTGCTAAGGACGTGTGCCCCTGGGGTTGGACAGTGACCTGTGTTTCCTCCACGGAGGGTGATGACATGACAATAAGATGGGTAGGGAGGGGTGAGCCTTGCAGGTTGAAGCAGGCAGGTGGTCCTGAGTTGTTGTCGTGACTAACACAGCTCTTTTTTTCTCCACATAACTGAAATCCTCCCTGCCATCCCGTAGTGTGTCGATGGGAACCAACTCTCCCCCGTGGTAGAACCGAAGGTACATTAACTGCATGTCCCTCTTGTCTCTGTGAGGTCACACTGTGTGCCGGAGTCTTTCCATTGTGCAGGTTACAGCTTTGGTAACCTTAAAGTATGTCAGCTGTAAGGGGGAGGAGGACGGGAGGAAAGACCAAACCTCCTCTCCCGCTGTCTTCATGTGCACCCAGCTGAACCCTATGCTTTCATCTCCAGTAGCTGTGAGATAGGATTTCTTACTATCTCCTCCATCCTGTAGGCTCTGAGAAAGTCATCTTTAACAAGACAGTGTAGATCTGATCGCTGGCAAGGGGTATGATGTAATCCCAGCGCACACATAGAGGAGTGTGATGTCTTATCTTTTCAGTGCTGATAAGTCATGGTTAGAAAACTCAGCGGCGGGTGCAGGAATCTTTCTGCAGCATCCCCGACATCGGCGTCTGGCCCTGCTTTCAGTGACTGAGAGCTCGTGACACTGTACGACACCGCCTGCGTTGTTTCCCAGCCCTGTGAGGTGCATCCCTGGGCTTCCCTAGAAAGTGCACCCGCTGATCCCCGCTCTCCCTGTGGAGCCCGTGGGGTAACTAAGTCTCCCCCGCTCCTGACGGCTCTAGAACTTATGTCCCTCTGGCCCTCCCCCTTCTTGTGTGCACAGGCCCCCAAACCTTTCAAGTTCCCAGTCTCCTTAGGATGAGCACCGGGTCCTCGGTATGTCCTCTGCACCAAGCCCTGGGCCTCCCTGGAGCGTGATACTCCAGGTGGGGTCTGCCCCCGCCTCCTCGATCCCGGCCCTGAGCTGGTGGTTACCTGCTGTCGCTCCAGCCTTGGGCATGTGGTACTTTCTGTGCCTCCTGTGCTGTCCTCGGGCCTGAGCCAGGATCGCTGTTCTTTGTTCAGAATCAATAAAACAGAGGTTCCGAGGGGCTGAAGAGAAAGGGCTTTGCCTGAGTCGGCGACTCGGAGCCGGGGCTCTTCCCGCTCAGGACGGCTGCCCATGCACGCACGCGGGCTGTCTGCGGCTCCTGCGGGCTTTCGTACCCATGGCCGTGAGTGTCCTTCTCAGGGACGGCAGACGCAGGCCGCGCTGCCGGCGTTTCTGTGTCCTGTGTCGGGTCCTGACGGTGCACCACCTTCTCCGGCCGCGGGTCCTTCCCTCCCAGCTTCGCTTCTTGGCTGAACCAGAGCTGAGAGCCTTTTCTGTCGCCCTTGGTTCCTCTTGTCTTCCTCACAGGTCTGGGCCGCCCTTGATGCCCGTTGTTGTGTTGGATTCTGCCCTCTTTACATCTCAGCTCCTCGGTGAGCTCCCAGGGCAGCCCTCATCCGAGGCCTGGGTTTGCTTCTGCCCTGTCTTGGGGGACATGTGTGATGACACCACTGGAAATCTGTTTTGAGAGCCCTTCCCCACCCTCATGTGTCCTCTGTGATATGGAACTTGGAGTCATGTCCTTCCGTTCTCAGTTTTGGCTTTTTTTTTTATGTATATGTAATTATCCCTCAATATTTGCAGGGATCTCCCCCAGCACCCAGCAGATACCAAAATCTGTGGATGCTAAGTCCTTATATAAAATGGCACAGTATTTGCATATATACATCCTCTCATATACTTTATTATTTCTTTTTTATTGGAGTATAGTCAGTTTACAATGTTATATCAATTTCTGCTGTACAGCACAGTGCTTCAGTCATACATACACATACATATATTCCTTTTCACATTCTTTTTCATTGTAGGTTACTACAAGATACTAAATATGGTTCCCTATGCTATACGGAATAAAGTTGCTGTTTATCTATTTATATGTAGTAGTATCTGCAAATCTCGAAATCCGAATTTATTCCTTTCTACCTTCTTCTCCCCTGCCCAGTAATCATAAGTTTGTTTTCTGTCTGTGAGTCTCTGTTTTGTAAATAAGTTCATTTATGCCTTTTTTTTTTAGATTCTACATATAAGTGATATCACGTGGTATTTTTCTTTCTCTTTCTGCCTTACTTCACTTAGAATGACAATCTCCAGGTTCACCAATGTTGCTGCAATGGCATTATTTTATTCTTTTTAAAGGCTGAGTAGTATTCCATTGTATATAGGTGCCACATCATCTTTATCCAGTCATCACTTGATGGACATTTAGGTTGCTGTCATGCTTTGAATGCTGTCTTCCCCAGAGTCAGTGGTTTTTGGGTCTGACCCTGCATTGGAGCAATCTGAGATGCTTGTTAGAAACACAGACTCCCAGGGTGCTGTCCCAGAGGGGCTGATTCATGCAAGCCGGTGAGACCTGGGGATTTACGTTTACAGATGTCCCAGGCGGTGCTGAAACCCGTGCATGAGTGAGCGTTTGGAAACTGTTAGTCATGACTGCGTGTCTGATCAGGTCCAATCTGTACTTCATGGGTCACCTTGAACTTAAAGATCATGTACTGTCCATCTCTGAAGGTTCCAGTGATTTCTCCTTCATCAACCAGTTCTTTCTGAATCCTTTGAAAATTTAGCCTGCTATTCCCATCTCTCTCCTTCCTGAGCTGATTTATGGAGGATTAGTACTCAGTGTTTAGTAACCAAATTCGATTTCAAACCATTTCTAGGACATGTCTTGATAAGCAGACTGAATTCTGAAATGTATTGGGCATGTGGCTTTTAACTAAACGAAACTTCAAAAAATGTCTCTGTCACTGAAGTCTCCCATTACTTTCCTGCCTTGCCAGTTTTGAAATCCGCTTTGTCTTTCTTCTTTTCTACTTTTCTTCTGGGTCCAACCAACTGATTCACAGTTGATTCTCTTGGTAATTTTGCTTTCATTTCGTTTTTATTTTCACTGCAATGCATTCCACTGTTTCCCCCTCAGGTTTGTGGATTTAGGGCCCATTATATCCTTCCTAATAAATAAGTGCAATTCTTCTTCCCCTTTAAATCAGCTTGTTTCTTGAGGACCCTTTCTAAGGCCAGGTCTGAGCACAGGGCCCATGGCACTGGGGCTGAAAGCTCATCCGGACTAGGGTCCGAGGGAACTCCGTGTAGGTGTGTCACCCTCTGGCCCATTGTCTGTTGACACCTCCCCGACTGTGTGCTTACTGTCTTGCTTCACTTTAACCTGATATTTTTCAAAATAACTATTACCATAATGCATCAATATAATTAGGATTCCATTATATTTATAGTCCATAAATATATCCATCTATGTATTTATCATGTGTATCACATAGGTACATAGACTAGGTGTAGCTTCTTATATATGTAAAGCAGTAGGTGTAGCTTTTATTGGAATCGTGGTCAGAGTAATTCATGGCTGTTAATTCCTTGAGCCTCTGAGGACGAAGCCAGATAGCAAAGGCTCCCCTTCCTGCTTGGACTCAGTTGAAGTCAGCCCTGGATTTGGGTTTGACTCTGTCTCTCATCTCACTGTGTGTGCGGCTCTGGGCCAGTTTGTTTCTTTCTTGGCCCGCTGGTCCCATTTCCTGTCTTGGACTAAATGATCTTTGAGGGATCTTGGAGTCAGCCTAAGTGACAAATGGCTCTTGGAGAACAGGGAGTGGTTCCTGCATCCAAAGAGTTCCTAATTGTGTTTGAGGCTGAGACTGATGGCTGATTCAACATCTCTTTCTCTCTTTCCAATAGGGTGGCCCTTTCCTGGCAGATCACAAATACCCTACGTTACCCGGGAAGCTTTCAGGAGCCACGCCCAACGGAGAGGCTGCCAAAGCTGCTCCCACCGCCTCCCTGCCTGACCCCGCAGGGAGCAGCCTCCTGAGGCTGAGTGAGTGTCCAGGCCCCAGGCTGGCGGCCTCTGGAGCCGTGGCCTTGGCACTTCCATTGTGGTACAAGGTCCTCTGCTCCCTGCCATCACAGCCCACAATTAGAGGACAGTGGGGATGGGTGGATGGGACCGCTTGTACCTCAGGGTGGTCCCATATGCAGAGACGATGGCTCTCTGTCTGGACGTGCTGTTTCCTTTCGGAAACGCTACAGAGCCCCCAGAAAACCAGAGTGTGTACCCACCTTCTTTCCAGTTGCAATTACCCCACCCCCATTTCCCTCTTCTATTCCTCCTCTCTTGACCCCTTCCTGACTATCCCGTCAGTCCTCTTTCCCTCCCTCTTAGACACCCAACTCCACCTTCATGGACCTCACCCTTCCTCCTCTGTCCTCCTGCCCTTCTCTTCCCTGTCTCTGCCTTCCTCTCTGCAGCCGCCCCATTACCAGTAGGATGCTGTTGTGTGCTCTTCCAAGGGAGAGCATTCCCTTAGAGAAATGGAGTCAGTGGCCAGTGGGCAAGGATGTCAGTCCACAGGTGTCCTCTTGGTGCTCAGGATCTGAAACCACAGAGGGCTTTGTTGCTTTTCATGCACAATAGGCTGTATTTCCCCAAGAGCAGCAGCAAATCAGTGCGGCCCAGAAGGGAACATCCTGGTCCTGACAGCTCTCCCCACCCCTGATGCCTCATCCTTGGCTCTTCCCAAAGCCAGCCTGTGTGCTGGCATCTGTCCTTGGCCAGTTCTGCCATTGGCTGCAGGAACGCCACATAAGCCCTTGAATGAGAACGTCCTTATGACACTCACACTGTGGACTTGCTGCAGCTTCAGATCATTCTAGTCTGATCAAGGTGAGCCCTGGCCCCCGCACTAGAGCTGTGAATGGCCCGGCGTGTTCAGCCCCCTCTGCTCTGTGACCGGATGCCTCACTTGCCAGCAAGTGACACCAGGAGCATTTGGTCCCCTCACACGGGGCTGCCCCTCACTGCAGTGACCCTGCGGGTCGTGCTTGGTCACCATTCACCCCCATCCGTCCTCATGGGATTGTTTTTCTTTCTGTTTGAGTTTCTCCCTCTTGCTCGATGACTCTTGTTTATTTCTTTGCTTCCCTATAACTCTGTTGGGCTGGACTTTGGCCTCTCTTGCTTCTCCCTGTGGCTTCTCTGCTTCTTGGTTGGCTGGAGATCGTGGCCGGAGTGTCAGTGCCCCCGCATTAGGTACTGTACCCTTCCAGGTGAGGTGGAGAGTGAGGTGCCTTTGTTTCCCTCCCCTGACACGCTCCCATTCCCGAACGTCCAGCCAGGTCCCCCTCCTGCCTGCATTCCCGCATCTCCCCTGGGGAAGAGAGAGGAGGCTCCTTGTTGGATTTATCCTGCAAGTACTGGGACCCTAAATTCAGAATTTGAAGACAGTGGCTCACCCAGATTTGAAACCTTAAGCTCACTGACTCAGAAAACCTGGAGTGTGCCTGAGCCACCTCCTGGTCTTCTGAGATCTCAGTGTCAAGTTCTGCCCTGCAGGCAGGGCTGGGCAGACTCTTCCCCAATCCCACTGAAAGGACGGCCCTGGCTTGGGGAGGTGATTTGCAAAAGTCACGTTCCTTCCTCTCATTCACATGTCGTTTCATTCTTTCAATCTCAGGAGACACAGAAAGTGGTTGGGATGACACCGCCATGGCCAACGACTTCTCATCCACATCATCGGGCACTGACTCCAGCCCCCAGTCTCCCCTGACACCAGACGGTAAACGGAGCCCCAAAGGCATCAAGAAATTCTGGGGGAGGTAAGTTGGTGGTGATGATCGTAATTGTGTTGCTTAGAATGAATATTCTTCTTGGCTGGGCAGAGCGTCTGCATAACCCTCTGTTCCATTAGATGTTGGAACAGCAGTAAACACAGGGTGGTCATGTGTAGAGAGAAGACTTTGGGTTCTTTTTCAGGGCCCAGAGGAGGAGCACTGTGAAAGGGATCCATAAAATACAGCCAGCTGCCTTACGTGTCACTCATTTTAGGCATTGATCATCCCACACACCCTGAGTACATTCTCTGCAGCTCACACCACGTGTGCTTTGGAGAAGCATATGGATGAGACCAATTTCTTCCTTCTCAGGAGTCAGTCTGTGTCTTAAGAAATTTTTAAAGACCGAGAACTGAGGACCTGCTGGCTCATCTGACACAGTCTGCAAACTGAGGCAGCAACAGGGGCCTCCTAATGGGTAGCAGCCTTCACATTGACCCCCCACAGGGAGTGGCCCAATCCCAGAGGCTGGATTAGAGTGGAGGTGGGGTGGCTGGCTGAGGAGCTGTCCCAGGTCCTGATCCTTGACCTCCGGGGAGGCCCTGGGAAGGAGGGCCGTCTGTGCCCCTGGAGGAGGCGTGCACTGACTACATGCTTTCAGCCTACCCTCTGAGGGTCTCTGTGGATTCCTCTCCACACAGAATCCGAAGAACTCAATCAGGAAATTTCAACACTGATGCTCCAGGGGTGGCCGAGTTTCGACGGGGCGGGCTCCGGGCAACTGCAGGGCCAAGACTCTCCAGGCCCAGAGACCCCAAGGGTCAGAAAAGGTAAGGCTCCCTGAAGTCCATCCACAAAGAATTGTGTAAAGTTTTGGCCAGGGCAGAGTGGAGACTGGAGCTGGATGCAGAGATGGAAGGCAGGAGCCCCTGGGGCAGAGCTTCTCAGCCTTTCCCGTTGGTCACGAGTAGACCTTGCTTGCTCATGCTTGCAGGTGCACTGAGGTAAAGGCAAGAGGCTCCCTACAGCCAGAGGTGCTGGGGTGGGAGGTGGGCACCCTGTCCTCCCCCAGGACCTCAGCAGCTCTGCGCGTCTGTAGTCCCGTCCCAGCAGGGCCTTGCCATGCTAGGTTTGAAGCTCTGCCACAGCCACTAGGAGCACAGATTCTGGAATCGGAGACCTGGGTTGGAATCTCCGCTCAACCACTTCCTAGCGATGAGCCCTAAATTTTCTCTATAGCTCAGTTTCCTCATTTGTGAAGTGGGATGGGGGGAGAGGTGGTGTCAAAAGAAGTGTTGGTTAAAGTTCTTATGAGGACTCTCTAAGCTACTGCACATCTAACCCTAGCGTCAGCTGTCCGCCATTGAAAGGTCACCTTCCCCCAGGAGATTTGGGAAAGAGGGCTTCACCTGCCTCTGGGTTAGCCTCCTCCTTCCACACAGACCTCTGCAGAAGGATGTTGGTGGAGCAGGGTGCATCTGCCCTTATCCCTCATAATGCACTGTGCCAAGCTTTCCTGAAGGTGTTACCTGGAGGGGGTTGTAAAGGGATCAAACATTCATCATGCCCTGATGAAAAAGCTTTAAAAACTGAAACTTTTCCAGAGACCACCCTGGTGGACACCCTCTGGTCCCCAGCTTTACCCCTCCTTTCTCAGATCTCCTGCTCTGACAAGACTGTCTCCTTTTCCGACCTGCCCAGGGAAATCTTTACTCCTGTGTCTTAGGGAAACCCTTTTCCATATCCTCTGCTCCCATCGTACAATCCCTACAATACATTGTCTCCAGCGGAATAGCTCCTGAAGTCTGGGTTACTTAGCCAAGATCAGGCTTCCAGGGGCCTTCCTTAGGATTCGACTGTAACATTGCACATCTAACCAAATGACAAAAAGTAAGGTTTAACTCTCTGAAATTTCTTCCCCCTGAGATTGCTGTTCACCAGTGCCACGTGCAGGTAATTTCTAAGGAAGATGTGCACAACTCACAGATTAGTTCTAGAAACAGTACAGCCTAGATCCCAGTGAAGAGAGAAGAACGTTTCCCTGATGTGGCACATTATTCATAGACCTGCACCCCCGTGGAAGGGAAGCACACCCCGCTTCCCCACCCTGCCCTGCTCGGGTTTCTAGGTTTTGCCTGGCACGCCCATGTACACACTCAGGACCTTTGCTGGGCATCCCCAGACCCATCCTCAGGGTGCCTTGCAAAGAAACCTAAGGATGTGTAGCCCCTGCACCTGCTCCCCAAGAATCACGGAGTGGTGGTGGCCCTTCTAATCACAAGTGTAAATGCTCAGTAAACAGTAGCTTTTAGAGGCTAGAGAATCTAAGGATGTGGTGAGAAGGCAGAGACCAATTCAGAGGCATTAGAAAGTGAGCCAGAGGAGACTTACCTATGCCACAGAGTACTGTCATTTACTTAGCAACCGTCCCAGTCTAGGCACCAATGTTTCGGATTGTTCTGAGATGAAAAAATAAAGCCACCATAAGCTAGAATGATTAATCTTTGTTCCACTTCCGGCTTTTTTTAAGGATTGATTTTTTTTTTAATATAAGTATTGTCAGTTTACAATGTGGCGTCAATTTCTCGTGTACAGCATAATATTTCAGTCATACAGGTACATGGGTGTATTCCTTTTCGTAAGGGGGATCGCTGCTCGGGCGTAAGAACTTTTCTGAGACCCTTAGGCATTTTTCCTTAGAGGAGGACTGCAGGGTTAGGGAGCCCATTGACGGTCTGCCGGTCACTGGTATGGGGCATCCAACGTCACGAACTTTCTCTGCCTGAGGCAGAGCGGCAGTTCCAGCCACAGGGCTGCTTTGTTTGGGTGTCTTTGTGCTTTGCTAACGCCTCACCTCACCATGGATGACAAGGAGAGCGGGGATAAAGTCCCGACGAGCATGTAATTGATCATGACTCTGCTTGTGGTAACAAAAGTGAGTTTGCTGGTGGGAAAGAAAGGCCTTTCTTACTCTTAAGCAGAATGCGGTCTAATTATATGCTAATGTCCTCTGGTATTGATAGTTCATAGATATTTAGGTATAGCCTTAAAAAAAGTTGTCAAAAAATGTTGTCACCAATAGTCCTATAGGAAAAGTTCTTTGTCACTGAAAGTCTCCAGGCCCAATCCCCTTTTTCCAATGAAACTGGTTTTTTAAATATAATATTTGGTAATGACATTTCATAAGAACTCTCTCAGGTTACAGAAGAATAAATGTTATGATCGTTTTTCCATCTTGCTGATTGACATTCCAGTCGGCACTGCTGTGCAATGAGTGCCTACTACACCTGCAACCTTGTCAGCATGAAGTGTTTGCAGCGTTTCTTTAAAGTTCTCTAGCTTTACAGACCTCCAAAAAGTTAGATTTTCATTGTTAATTTGGTTCATATGTTTGTCATTTGATTTTTTCTTTTGTGAACTGTGTGCATATTTGCCCATTTTTATTTAGTTGTTAATAGCTTTTAATCAGTTACTTAATGTCTCATAGATTCCTCTCTGTTCTGTGTATATTAAGATATTAAACTATGTCAAAAAATTCTGACTTTTTTAGGTTTGTTGCCTAGTTTTACCTTGATATATGAAATTTTTAAGTTTATGTATAATGAGGTTCAGCAACTTTCCCTTTGTGATTTCTTTAGTTTGTTTTAAATTTTTTTCTTTTTTTTTTTTTTTAGAAACTGGTTTTATACGGTGAGTTTAAAAAAAGTGATTTTTAAAAACCTTAAGAATCATCTATTTGGCGATTTATTTTGGTTGTGGTGAGGGGGATTTTTTTTTCCAAGAGAAAACTACAAATAGTTTTAAGACTGCTGTCTCCACTCCAGTTTTCCCTTGGTCTACACTTTGCCTAATGTCATGTGATGCTGGAGTAGCCATGGGCTTTTTGGTGGGGGGGGGTCTGACTACGGGGAAGTCAGGAGATCCATTTAGTTTGGATTTAGTGGGATTATGTGTGTATGGTTTACAGTCGCTTCATGTTTAGTTTAGTTAGATCTAGTTAATCAACTGTCCTACTATAAAAGTGCTTCCAATTTTCCAGTGTGCCCAGCACTCTGATACAGAGATTCAGAGCCAGAGATCATGTACCAAAATAAATTTGTCCTCTGGCATTTGGTTTCAGAAGTATGGGGTAGTGGAAAAAGAAAGAGCATTTGAAATACACAAAACCAGAAGCTAGTCAGTGGAAAATCTTTCCAGTCATCAGATTTGCAAAATCCTAAGCAAAAGAATTGATTCTCTTGGATGCTCACTCAAAACATAAGTTCTCTCTTTTCAGAAATGCACTTAATAATGAAATATATACAATTATAAATGCACCTTGTGTTCTCTACCATGGGAGTGGCAGATTTGGATAAATCTCACTTACATAATTTTAACTGCAGTTTGGAAGCATGTTTTGGAACATGTCAATAAAACAAGTGGTTTGGTGCTATATGAAAGGCACTTTCTCTATTATCTCTATATTACTTACTAGCATATTCAGCCATGGCCCTGGTTCAGAGTGTGGGAAACCCAGTGCTCAGAGGACCTGAGGAGATGGGGAAGCAGGGTCTGCTGCTGTGGGAACAGCACAGGCTTAGGCGGGCAGAGACCATTCACAAAGCAGAAAATGGGAAGACTACCCAGGGCGGAGGAGCATCAGAGCTCCAAGATGTTTTTAAAAGGTCTACAGGACGGAGGCTTTCAAATTATAATCTCAAAAACACTTATTTCCCCTTGGAACTGAAATATCCTTCAGATATATAGAAAATTTGTTTCTTCCCAATTTCCAGAAACCAGAAAATAAACAAAATTAGAAACTAATGGAACATAAAATTAAAGTGATAAAATGAGCATTGAAATTGAGAAAGCATTCTGATATTAAGAAAAAACATATGAACAAAAGAATCCCAGATCAAACCAAAAGCCATAATTCACTAACAGCAACAGATAAACTGCAAACAAAAATAGTGAATTGGTTCCTAGATTGTTGTTCATATAAGGTGAATCATATGAACACATTAGCAAAAGATGAAAATTTCTTGCTGATTTTACATGATACACCTGACATGGGCAGAGAGGACATAAAACTCATAATATGCAATAGCCACACAGACATCAAATAAATGTTGCCAATTCAAAGAATATTTAAGATTAGCACTAGAAAACTTGAACAATGTGTAATTTTACAGCTCGCATCTAAAAGGATAGAGGTTTTCCTAAATTTGACAATTCTAAAAATGCATTCGCCAATACCAGTTACAAATTGTGAAACTGAAACTCTAAAAAAAAAAACTGTAAAGATAAAAAATTAAGTAATCATGCTAGAAGAAAGAGAGAATCAGTCTTCTCATAAAAATACAGCCTCGCCCCATCCACGGATCCAAACCACTGCAGATCAAATTTCCATTGGTTGAATCCGTGGATGCGGAACCCGGGAATATGGAGGGCTGAGTGAACTATGCCATTTTATATAAGGGATCTGAGCACCCCTGGATTTTGGTATCTACAGGGATCCTGGCAATCCCTGGCAGATACAGAAGGATACCTATGTTACAGATTTGTGGACATACGAAGAAGTAATCAAAAAATATGCACCCTAAATATAAAGTACTACAGAGGTATATCCAGGAGTTAATTAATAGAAATATTAATTTGGATTTCATGTTTTTTCATTTGAATTAGATTTGTAATTTTTTGTGGTTTTCTTTCTTACTCTAAATACTCTGTTCCTAATGCCATATTCAAATCGTGTGCTTTTCTTAAAGAAGTCACCCCAAATTTTACAAATTCCTGGACTCACTAAACCTGGATCTGCACCTCTTTATGATTTACTAAAATTCAGGCTCCAGGCTGAGTAACTATCATCTTCCTCACTTCTAGAATGGTGATTTTTTTTTAATATGCAAATACTTTTTATTTTTTAAAATAATGGTAATATACTGAACTTTTTTTTAGCCTTTGTTTTTCTTGTTGAAGTATAGTTGATTTACAATATTGTGTTAGTTTCAGGTGTACAGCAAAGTGATTCAGTTATACAAATATATGTATTTATCTATATTCTTTTTAAAAAGTCTTTTCCATTGTAATTGATTACAAGATATTGATTATCCCATACTTGCAATTTATCCCTCACCCCCCTTCTCCTTTGGGAACCATAAGTGTGTTTTCTGTGTCTGTGAGTCTGTTTCTGTTTTGTAAAGAATTTCTGTTGTGTGTGTGTATACATTTGTTTGTATGTATCTCACATCTTCTTTATCCAATCATCTGTTGATGGACACTTAGGTTGTTTCCATGTCTTGGCTGTTGTAAATAGTGCTGCTATGAACATTGAGGTGCATGTATCTTTTTGAATTAGAGCTTTCATCTTTTCTGGATATATGCCCAGGAGTGGAATTGCTGGATTCTATGGTAACTCTAGGTTTTTAAGGAACCTCCGTACTGTTCTCCACAGTGGCTGCACCAGTTTACATTCCCACAACAGTCTAGGATGGTTCCCTTTTCTCCACACCCTCTCCAAATTTATATTTGTAGACTTTTTGATTATGGCCATAAAATGGTGTTTTCAGGTCATTCTGGCCCGTTAAGGAATTTCCTCACTTGAAGAACAGCTCAGCCAGGCATTAAAAAAAATTTTTTTTTAACCAGCATTTTAGGAATACTCTCTTAGAAGGAATCTTTTGGAATAGCTTGTCTTCTGTATTCCATGAATCCTCCTTTATTTTTAAAAATGAATATAGAGTTGCTTTGTCAATCTCCCCACCCCCTCCAGACTCAGCTGGGATTTTGAAGGTGCCGTTACATGAACACTGTAAATGAAAAATTGATGTCTTTAAGAACTGGTGGCTTTGTCATGCCCAGGCTTTGTGTCTAGGAACATGATCCAGCTCTTCATTTATTCATGTGTTTTTTCATGTTGCTCAGTTGAATGTTGTAGTTACCACCTCCCCCTGTCCCCACACACAGTTATACAGGACCCATGTGTTCCTTGTAAAGGCAACCCCTAGCCATTTTATAACTGGTTGCTATATGTGGGATTTTTAAATTATTAGAACAAAAGTTAGCATCTGTGCATTGATGGTATATAGAAAATTATTGATTTGTGCATGTCGTAGAAAGATGAGTGTATGTCTGTGTAGCGTTAAACTAGCGTACCCTGCTGAGTTCTCTTGGGCTTTCTAGGTGGGCAGTTATATCACCTGAAAAGAATGGCTTGCTTTTACTCCTGCCTTTCTAATAGCTATACGTTTAATTTTATCTGTTCTTATTCTAGCTGCAACTGTCAGACCAGTGTTACCAGTACTGATAAAAAACAACTGTCTTTTTATTGACTTTACTACAAATGCCCCTAGTGTTCCATAGTAAATAAGACATTACCTGTTGTTGACTGGAGGAGGGGTTTTGTTTTGTTTTGTTTGTAATGTTAAGAGAACTGGCCCCTCTTTCCTAGTTTTCTAAGCGTTTTCCTAAGAAACAGTGTTGAACCCTGTTTAAAACATGATTGAGTTGTGAATCTTCATCCTAAGGGGACCGCAGCTCTAGGCTTTGGCATGTGTGCCTGTGTGCATGGACCGACGGCACACGTGAACACAGCCTCCGGGGGGCGTGCAGCGGCCCCGAGCTCTCAGCAGCTGCAGGGTTGAGATTCGGACCAGGTGTTATCCTGGGAAACTCTGGAGTCTGCCTCAAATGAGTGCGTTGTAGTGGAGTTCTGTTCAACTAGACCCCACGGTGGGAGTTGTTTGTTAAAACATAGTTTCCCTTTTTTGCGAGGTACTGTTATGTTCAGATGCGTCCCAGGCTCTCCCACTAATAGGGTCCTGCTGTTTCCTGCTTCCCAGTGATGCCAATGCCCCCTTCGCCCAGTGGAGCACAGAGCGTGTGTGTGCCTGGCTGGAGGACTTCGGCTTGGCTCAGTACGTGATCTTTGCCAGGCAGTGGGTGACTTCTGGCCACACTTTACTGACAGCTACCCCTCAGGACATGGAAAAGGTAAGGGCTGAGCCCTGGGCGAGGAGGCTCCCATTTCTCCCCAAATCAATGCATGGGGAGGTGAGGGCCCCCCCATACCTAGACCCTCCGCCCCCAACTCCCCCCACACAGGAGGGTGGACAGAGGATGCCGAGATGCTCTCTATTGCTGCAGGTTGATCCCAGGGCGCTGGGCAGAGGTCTGCTGCCCCACTCCCCCTGGTGGGGAGCATCTCCACCCAGATGCAGCGTCCGGTGAGGGCCAGGCTGTCCGCCAAGATCTATTCTCTGTCTTCATCTCTCAATTTCAGGAGCTGGGAATTAAGCATCCTCTTCACAGGAAAAAGCTGGTTTTAGCAGTGAAGGCCATCAACACCAAGCAGGAGGAGAAGTCGGCCCTGCTGGACCACATTTGGGTGACACGTAAGGGCAGGCCTGTGTGTTCTACGTTTCTGGCAGCTCCTAAGAGTCGACAGAGTTTCCGGAGAATGTGTGCCTCGAAGGCAGCTATCTCCGTGGGACAGGCAGATGATGACTGAACTTTAGGGACGGATACAACTGGAACTCCAAAGTGGTCATTTGTTGCTGGTTTTTTTTTTTTTTGGCATCAGCTTTCTCCCATTTTCATGAATTTCAATTCCCTCTTTCTGCAGGTTGGCTCGATGACATTGGCTTACCGCAGTACAAAGACCAGTTTCATGAGTCCAGAGTGGACGGGCGCATGCTGCAGTACCTGACTGTGGTGAGGGTCCCTCCTCCAGCGTCTCAGTTCTCCCTGTGAGCACCCAGCTCCACTCCGGTGTCCCTATGGTGGTTATTTTAAACTTGAGTCCACCATCCCCCCATATTCTTAAGGTCTTAAAACAGTGTTGTTTGTCACCTAAGGGGTCCCGAGTACCAGAGCACGAACCATCGTGCCAAGGAGAGCTGTTGCTGTGTCCACGTGCACCTTCCCGACACGTGGTAGACGACCTGTCTACGCTTAGTCTGGGAAGGAGCCTCAGAGGTCGCATTTGTCATTTTGGAAACTCTGGTTCATCAACCACAGCTTTTCTCTTCCAGAATGATCTACTCTTCCTAAAAGTCACCAGCCAACTACATCATCTCAGCATCAAATGTGCCATTCACGTGCTGCACGTCAACAAGTTCAACCCCCACTGCCTGCACCGGCGGCCAGCTGATGAGGTGAGGGCAGGCCAGCACCTACATAGGGAGCCCCGAGCCAGGACACCTGTCAGATCAGGTGTGAGGAGACCAGAGCAAATCATTGCAAAATGGCTGCATTTCAGACCAAGGCGCTGTGGATTCGTTCCTTTGCTGGGGCTTCCTGGTGCCCCAACACCCCTGTGGCCTATACCCATGTCCCACAACAGCCACTAGCCCTCCAACTCCCACCTCCTCTGGGGAGACACATACTAGGGGCCGGAGGGCAGGAGTAGTCTTTCAAAGCATCATAATGACCGAAGGAGATGAGGAAATGGAGCAAAGAGGAGGGAGGGAAAAGACAAAGTGGAAGGTTGGGTGTCAAGGCAGGCAGAGGAGTGGGGGTGGAGGAGCCAGTAGGGAAGCAGACATGTCAGAGTAGATCTCCCTACTCGAGATAAAAAATTAACTGACCTCCAGCCCCACGTGCACAGGGCATCCATGAGGTGATTTTGCTAGAGAAAAAATAGTGTAGGTAAACACAGCAACTCGGATTCTGGAAAATTCTGATAATTTTCCATGAACCTCGGGGTTCTTGGTGGGCCCTGAAGCTACGGGGTTGTCAGTTACATCCCGTCTCCTAAGTTCCTGGAACTAAGTCTAACCCTGCTGTGAGAGTCACGCAGCTTCCAGGGGATTAAAAACTCCTACCTTTACCCCTCTCTCCTCTTTTCTCCTTATTCAACGAACATGTTTTAAACACCTACTGTATGTCAGGCATAGTGCTGGGCATTTTGAAGACCCAGATGCCACCTGCAGACACTTGGGTGTAAGTATTTTAAGGTGTGTTCTCCTGAAACATTTGGCCACGCCAGGGAGCTCTTCTGTCTGTGAAACAGTCAGCTCATAATTCATAGACCTCCGCAGAGTTCTGTTGAATCACAGAATGAATGACTGTATGCCTTAATGGATTAGCCCCAGAGTGACCAGAGATTTGGGGAGTAACAGGATTCCAGAATCAGACATCCCAGTGTAGAAGATCCTGCAGGTTCAGTGAGAGCTTTATTTCCTGGAACCTGGGAAGGCTCCCGGGAAGCTGGCTGGGAGGCCTGGGTCCCTGGGTGTGAGGGTCGTCTTTGGCAAGGCATCGGGGCCTGGCTTCCTCACAAGGGCTGGCTCCACAGAGGAGCATGGTAGACTTTAAGCCTGACTTCTTCACTCTCCTTCTCCCTCTCACAGAGTAACCTTTCTCCTTCAGAAGTGGTGCAGTGGTCCAACCACAGGGTGATGGAGTGGTTGCGGTCTGTGGACCTTGCGGAATATGCACCCAACCTTCGTGGGAGCGGTGTCCATGGAGGTCTCATTGTGAGTGGCTTTTTGGGCTGGCCCACCTGCCTTGGTGCCACCTGGGGTATTCAGAAACTGCTTTCTTAAGGGCTAGACATCAAGTAAGAAATGATATGTGATCTGAACCCTGTGTATAAACTGAAGAAGGTATAATCGGATCATTTGTTAATAGATGTCATGGAGGGGGGAGGCCATAGTTCAGTGGTAGAGTGCATGCCTAGCATGTATGAGGTGGTAGGTTCAATCCCCAGTGCCTCAATTAAATGTATAAATAAATAAACCTAATTACCCCCCCCAAATAAAAAATTAAAAAAGAACTGACCATGGGTGGTGGGGGAGAGGATAGCAGTAGATTTCATGGAAACAAGCAGTAGATTTCATGTGGCTTCTGGAGAGACTTCCCCAGCCACAGACCTGGAGGATCCCAGGACAAGGGGGTTGCATGAGCATCAACCGCTAACCAGGCAGCTCCACTTTGCTGCTGGAGGAGCATGGGCTGAAGAGTGAGGAGGAGGCCACCAAAATGTGACGTCCTGCTTGTCACTATACCATCACTCAGATCTGTCAATTGGCAAAGCCAGCAGGGACACCAGGAAGGGGGGTGGCTCAATGTTGTCTAGAGCAGACCCTGGGGAACAGCCTCGTCTAAGAGGCCACAGCTCTCTGCTGGTCAGTCACAGAGCTGGGCCCTGGGCAAGAAGGGAGAGCATGGGGAGTGGGACACAGGACAAGAGGAGGAGCTTCAGCTCCTGCCCTGGAGGCAGCCTGGCCCACGGGGGCTGTTTTTCAGTGCCGTCACCTGGCGCCACTGGTGGTCACCACTGCCTTGTCTGTGGTTTCTTCCTAGATCCTGGAGCCACGCTTCACTGGGGACACTCTGGCCATGCTTCTCAATATCCCCCCACAGAAGACGCTCCTCAGACGCCACTTGACCACCAAATTCAGTGCCTTGATTGGTCCTGAGGCTGAGCAGGAGAAGCGAGAGAAAATGACCTCACCGGCTTACACGCCACTGACCACCACAGCCAAAGTCCGGGTGAGTAGCCCGGCCCTCTGGCCCCTGTGTTGTGCAGCAGCTGACTAGTGTCTGGAGCCAAACCAGGGTGGGCTGCCTGGACCAGGAGGCGCTCCTGGCTTCTGCCCTGCGGTTTTGGTTTCCTTGTCCACTAGTCTTTGTTAGGCCACCTTTGAGTCCAAGGGAGTGCAGGTCTCTTTATACAGAAATGACTTGCAGGAAGAATCTAGCCTCAGGTGGAAAGGAGCTGGTCTTCCCTCCTAGTGCTGCCTTCACTCATTTTGCAAAGTAGACAAATTCCCAAGTGTGGGTTCCCTTTGGTCAGGCCCACCTGCACGCCACTCCGGGAGTGCTGTGTGAGGAGCCGGCCCGTCACCTGGTACTGTGCAGGTGGCCAGCACACAGCCGTCTGTCCAGAGGTCCCGAGGTCATCAAGCGCCAGCGCCACTCACTGGGGCTCTCTGAATCTCACAAAGCCCCTTTCCTCCTGCCTGAGCCAGAGTCCTCAGACCTTGTCCCCCGGACCGTAGGCCCACCGCCTGGATTTCTGGAGTCCAGGCAGTCCCTGTCCCCAGCAGCATGGTGATGCCTTAGGTCCAGCTGCAGTCCAAGCACAGACCTCCTTCCCCAAGGGAGCAGGACAGGAAACACGTCTGGGGGAGACAAGCAGAACAGTGCTGGGGGAAGCTGGAGCTGGGAGGAAGCTAGGGCCGTCCCTGTGACTTCCTGAGGTGCTGGGAGCAGAAAGAGGGGACTGCTCCCCATGGGGTTTCAAGTCCTCCTCTAAGCTCAGCCTCTGTGCAGACAGCAGCATCCTCTGGGAATCCCCAGTCCCCCCAGGGAACATGAATATCACTAGTGGGACAGCCGGGCCAGAATTTCGGGCCCAGAGTCCTGGAGGAGCAGCTCTCCTCGCTCACGAAGATTTATCTGTGGGCCTTTCCCTAGCACAGAAGTTGCTTGCAGAAGCTCTGTTTTGTTAGGAGTTTTTCTAGAAGCAGCTTGCCTTGCTCCTTCCCTCACGGGCCTGCTCTGAAATGTACTACCAGGGGTAGCTGCATACCAGTTTGATAATCACTTTCTCATAATCTTGCCTCTGCTGTGTTTTAGCCACGGAAACTGGGATTTTCACATTTTGGAAACATAAGGAAAAAGAAGTTTGATGAATCGACAGACTACATTTGCCCGATGGAGCCCAGTGACAGTGTCGGTGACAGTCAGAGGGCCTACAGTGGCTACCGGGGCCTCAGCCCCCTCGATGGCCCTGAAATGGATGGGCTGGACCAGGTGGGACAGATTAGCTGATGCTTTTGTCACCTGTACTGTCTGTGCATCCTGTGAGCTCACGGTTACACCGGGTTTGTCCTCATGTAACTGCACCTCACCCCATGTGTGTGCATGACTAGCAGAGAACATTCCAGCCACTGTGTACCCCTGGGCCAGTCTCTGTCTGAACCCTGAGGGTGGCCAGGGTACGAAGCTGCAACTTTGCTAAGGGGCCAGGCTCTGGGGACTCAGGAGGAAAGACACTTAAAGATGCTTGCACATTTTCAGTGAAGTCTGATTGTCCACCTTCAGCTCCAGTGGCAACACACAAGCCTGGACACGGTCCAGAGACCACGGACAGTCCCGAGAGGCTCAGCTCTCAGGCCCCTTGGCTGGGCCCCACTTGAGGGCAATCCCAAGTGCCTTAGGCCTGTGGCCACAGTCTCAGCTGAGACCGAAGGGACAGCAGCAGGGACTTCTGCCACAGTGACAATGTAATTGCCCTGCCTTCCTTCTGAGGTGGTCACTTTTTTCTGGTAATAATAACCGTATTTATGTAGAGTGCAAAGTGCGCAGCACACCTTCCATCTTGTCGGGAGGCAAGCTCAGCACCTCTGGACACGGAGTCCTGCTCGTCTGTCACGCAGCTCGAGAGCCGTTGCCCCTGAGCTGTGTCAGGATCTGCGGGTGTCCTGGGTGAGGGAGATGAAGCCAGGAGGGATCCCCATCCTTGAAGGTCTCTGGCCTCGCTTCAGGCTCCACCGCCCCGTGTACAGCCCAGGGGCACTTTGCATCTCACACGCATTGTGACTGGAGGGCACGTCTGTCATGCAGACCCCAAAGTTGTTTCCGTTTCAGTGGCCTGGGTCACCTGGTGAAGGGGGCGTGAGAGACCGGGCGGCCTTGCTGGAAAAGCCCTCTGTTCTTGCACGTGGTGTGTCTGCTCCGCAGTTACTGACCTAGCTGGGCCCAGAACCCTGTGGGAGTTGGTCTGGAACAGACCTGTCCTGATGCAGAGGCCGACTAATTGTCTTCTGGATGGGCCCCGCCTGGCTGAGGACTGGGGGAGGGACACACCTGCCCGACTGGGCTCCTGATCGTGAGATTCCGGTCTGCCCTAGTGCAGCTCTTGGCTCCACTGGGTCCCCTGGGCCTCATCTGCAGAAACATGACAGAAGCATTTTAACTCGCTGGTGGCCAGGTGGGGCCTGGTGACCCTGGTTTGAACACTGATTCTGTCTCAGATGAGGGTGATGTGAAGATTTGCTTTTTAAACTACTGGCAGCCTCAGGCCATGGCCTCGGACTCCCCGTGCAGTCTAGCCTGCAGGAGATTGGGGTACAGGCTCGCCAGCTGGCACGACTGCTGTTTGATCCCAGGGCCGGGACCACTGAAGGACAGGCGCTCCCTGAGTCTGACACCTGAGCACTGCAGGCTCTAATCTTTTATTGTGTCCTGGTGGGAGAATCTCTGCATGTGCTGCTGTCAAACCCTGAATAGGATGGTTATGCCACTAATCCTCTGTGCAGCCTTAAGCAAGGCCTGTATGACTTTGTGGGCCTCAGTTCTCCCACCAGCAAAATGAGGGGTTATACTCAATGCCCTCAGAGGATGCTTCCAAATCTAAACTGCCCAAATAGGTTTAAGGAAGAAGGGGCGGGCCAGCATTACCTGAGGAGGGGAAGGAGGCTCCTGGGAGTGAGGATGCCCGGCTACACCTGTCAGTGTCTGGGGTCCTGCTGGTGCCAGAAATGATGTGCTCAGCACCCTGAAGGCCTTCATCCCTGTTGCTCTGCCCCTGGAGAGAGCTGGAACACTGAGCATGTGCGACAGGGCTGCTCCAGCTGCCCTGTCTGTGCCCTGCTCCTGTGTACTTTAGTTCTGGTGCCAGGGTGGGGATGCAGGAGACAGTGTGCATGACTGGGGGACACAGGAAGCTCTCCCTTTCCCAAGGACAAAGGCAGCATGTGCCCCACCCATCTGTCACTCCCCAGGACCTGGCCCACTCCTTGCCTCTTCCCCCAGGGAGCATGCCTGAGCAGGCTAGGGCATGCATGCCACCTCTGCGACTCACAAGCTTGGCCCAAGCGTGCTGACCAGGCTGCTGCCCGTTTTACAGATGGCACCTTCAGAAGGCACCGTGACGCAGATAGGGCTCCTCTCCCAAGACATTCACCGCCTCACGGTAGGACTCTGGCCCTCTCTCCACAGTAGGACAGGTACTGGGGAGGCCCTGGGAGTCTGGTGTGGTGGTGCACAAGGCCTGGCGCAGCCCCCGTGCCTATCTGAACCTGTGTCATCAGCATCTCTGCTGGGGGAGGAGCAGCAGGTGGGGCTGGGTGCCGGAGTCAACCCTGAGGCAGAAGGCAGCCCAGAGGCCTCTGTTAGCCTGCCGCTAGCCTTCTAAAGGTGCCCGGTCTCAGACCCTCTTCCCAGGCTGAGAGACGGTGAGGAAACCAGGGTGCTCAGCAGCTCTGGGTCACCTGCCTAGTCAGCCCAAATCCCAGGCCTCATGCCCAGCCTGGTGGACACCGTTCTGCCCTCTCTGTCCATGAGACACACGTATTTCCTACTACGCCTCTGACTGCATGGGCCTGTGAGCGCATCACAGTGTGTCCAGTGGGGAAGCAGCTTAGTCCTGGGCAAGATGAGCCATTCTGGAGGGAGGCTGACCTGGTCCCTGTCTGCGACCTTGGGCAAATCACTCTCTCTGAGCCCTGACTTCCTTATCTGTAAAGCAGAGTAATAGCCTCCTTGCAGGGCGGGTAGGCAGACTGGAGCTGGCGGTGCAAGGCCGGTCCCAGAAGGACTGCCCCAGCACCGAGCCCACAGGCCGCAGCAAGTGTCCCTGCTGAGTCCTTGTTGCTGTTTTCCTGACTTACTGCGGCAGGTTAAGAAGACGAGGTTGGGGAGCATCTCCATGAATCTGAACAGGATTCACTTTTTTTCAACTTGTGTTTTCTTGGCTCTCACACTGAAATGAATCCACCCAGCCTTGCCCTTATCACTTCTGATTGCCTTATCACTTCTGATTGATAGGCCTCTGGCGGCCCTGAAATAGCAATCTGACCTCCAAGGTACAAGCAGTTTATTCTTGATAGTGTTGTCTATTCTAACCCAACACATGGGGTCCCTGAGACCCCCATGAGCTTAGAGGACACAGGTGTCAGATGGGGCACACCCAGTGCCCCACTGCTTCACCTGTAGTGGCCACAGGACAGCCTTGACCAGAACGCTGTTGAACCCCAGCTGTGGCCATGTCCTTTCAGACCATGCTGACCCAAGACCAGCTGCTGACTGACTCCCACCTGGCCGCTCCCAACTGACGACTGGAGATGACGCTTACTGGCTGAGGGCCTGGTCAGGCACGTGTAGGGCCCGAGTCTGCAATGGGGGGGTGGCCCACAGCCACCTGCAGAGCCCAGGCCTGGCAGCAGGGCATCTCCGACAGCCGACAGGACAAAGTGGGGCATGTTCACTACACCACGCCCCTAGTGGCAGGACTGGGTAATACAGAAGTCAGATGCCTGAAGAGGCAGGCCACGTTCCAGTCTGTCCGTCCTTCCTTTCCTCCCTCCCTTCTCTCCTCTCCTTCCCCCCTCCCAAACAGAACCACACTCATCCCATATCTCCTGCACTTAACTTTATTTCAATAAGCTATGGGGAGGGGGATACTGAAATGAAATTCCTCAGGCCTCCCCCAAGCAAGGAAACCGGAACCCACTCTCTCCATCCTCTTGCATTCTTCTTCACCCCACACCAAAGAGAGGAGCACCAGGTACCCAAGGTGCATTACAAGTCACTTCCCTGTTTAACATGGTGAAGCTGAGCTCACTTAGAAAGATGAAGGCGACTAGACAAATTTGGTCAGAGCAAGGGAGGTGTTAGTAGGTGAAAATCATATCCTTGGTGTAACCCAGTTTCTCCAGGTTTGGGTGTGCAGCTGTCTGGATCAGGGCTAGTGGGCCACATACCAGGATGAATGTGGACCTCCCAGGAGGCGGGAGGTGCTCTTTGATCATATCCTCGGTAATGAAGCCTGAGCTGTACTTCCAGCCTGAGATCAAGCAGAAGAAAGCTGTTGGGGAGGCCAGATAGCTTCACTGACCCCTGGCCTCTCGACCACCCGCCCTCCCTCGCTCAAGCGAGAAAGAGGGAGACAAGCCTGCTCGCCAAGGCCTAGACACTGTTCTCTGCAGAGAGCTGGGAGTAGAGGACATGGGGGACCCAGGCAGCCCTCTTCAGTATCTCAGATCTCAGTCTCACTGCTGGGACTCTGACGCCCTGGTGCTGGTGTCTGCCTGCTGTAAGCACTGGCGAGAGTGAGATAAAGGTACCCAGGTGTGGTGTGACTCAAAGCAGTCTGGTGGAGGAGAGCTGTGCTGGGCAGCGTGCCCTGTGGCATTTGGGGGCTGCTCAGTCGGTTGGGTGGCGCCCTCTGCTGGACAGCGAGCTGTATGACAAGGCAGGCACAGCTCTGGACAGTGAGGGCCTGTGGGGTGTTGTGTTGTGGCTGGGAGCTAACTGGGGCTGCAGCAGCTGTATGGGACTCAGCTTGTAAGGACTGCTATCCTCAGCAAGGTGAGTGGTGCAGAGTCAAGAGGGGTCAGTGGCCGTGCCAGATGTAGTGTGAGTGATGGCTCTGTGGGATGCCGTGTGGAGGGGGTGTTCAGGGTGGCCTGGGGCCTCTGTGTTCCTGATGTTCAGTGCAGTGTGCAGCGTGCTGCTGATACTGGACGCCTGCCCTAGGCTGCCCTTACAAGCAGGTCATCCCAAATCCTCTCTTCCTCAACTTCCTGAATTTCCCCTGTGGCAACATGGCCCAAGGCCTCAGCCACCAAGCCCAGATCTAACCAACCAACCCACCCACCCACCCAGGGACTAGTCATTGACTGAGTTAAGGGGACCCATAGCAGGGACAATGGGGACCATACCAACAGGAGGCCTGTCCAGGGTGTACCACAGTTTGAACTGCTTTGGATGGGTTCTGGCAACTTCTTCAAGCTCTTTTCTCAACAAGATATCCTCCTCTGTCTAGAAGAGAAGCAACATGAGCCACGTCCTTCCAGGGTATCCCACCTGTTCCCAGACCCAGCACACGGGTCAGGGCACACCCGCCCCAGTCACCCAGCTCTAGCTTGGGTACTCACTGCCAGCTCTGCGGCAAATTCTGCCGCGGCTCCTGCACACAAACCCCCTCTTGTAGGGGGGGAGGCGCTGGGTGACTGCCCTCAAGCCAGAGGACATGGCTGAGCCCTAGGGGTACCAGCCCCACCACCAGCATCCACTCTGAGCGCCAGGCAAGGCAAATCCGTACTGTCCTGGGATCTGCAGGGACTGCGAGGGACCAGGGCAGTGATCTATGACAGTGTACATAGTCTGCAGCACTGGAGAGCTACAGGAGAGAGGCAGAGGCTGGAGCCTCCACTGGGGAAAGTGAGCCAAAGCCTCAGAGATGCTGCCCACAAGACCCGGATCTTAAAACTCATCCCGATCCTTGTCCCAGTGATTCCACTTCTGCAATTCTGTTTAAGAAAATCATCTAAGCGTGATAAAGCCTCAACACAATTATTCAGTGCTGTATTGTTTGTAACTGTGAAAACTGAAAACAACCTGAATGTGGAAGATTTAGTAAAGGACGGTACAACTTGGTATAGACTCAGATGAAAATATTTATAGAGTTTTAAAGAGAGGAAGAGGCCTGTGTGGCAATGATGAGTGAAAAAACCCCAAAAATGAAAAACTGTATGTGTAATTGTAAATATACACCATATATAGAAAAGATTTTAAAAAAGTAAAACATTTGTTTGCTTCTGTATTTTCTGAAATTTCCACTAAGGGCATCTATGATTTTATAAACAGAATTATGTACCAAATAAGGAAGGAAAGTTTAGTGCTTGTGGGGAGACGAGAGTTAAAAAAAAACCCAAACAAATGGAAAAATAGGCCTGACTCAGGGCTGACTCCGCAGACTGACCTGGTTGGCAAAGATGAGAGACATCCTGGTCCTGTCACTGGGCTTCTTGGTGATGCAGCGGATGAGCTGCAGCATGGGCGTGATCCCTGGAACACAGTCAGCAGGCAGGCCGGCTGTCCCTCCCCATCTGGTGCCCACAGTCCCCGGGCGGCAGCAGCTTCGTGAGTTTCCCTGGCCCTGATTTTACTTTTCTCACTTCTATCCCCAGAACTCCAGGTGGGGACCCACCCTTCATTTTTGTTTTCCCTTCTGATGCAACAATAAAGCAAAAGCCCATCATGTTTACACAGCAAGACGGAGGGAGCACTGGCTTTGGAATCGGGCTGCATTTCACACCCAGCTCCCTCACTAACTGTCCGACCAAGGTGAGTCAGGCACATCTGAGCTCTTTAGTGTCCCCATTTCTAAAACAGATTTAATGGTGAGTAAATGTGATAGTTTTATAAGTGCCCGTTTTGGTGCCTGGCATGTTGTAGTTCTTGCCACATTTGCTCTCATCTTCCAGGCATTCAGTTTCAAGGGATGGGGAGCAGCAGCCTTGAACAGGCTCTAAGAGTCCTTGGGAGACCACATGTGGACTTGCCCAGGCTGGCCCCTAGCCTCTGCCCTGTTCCCAGCCTGACCTGAGAGGTTCCAGGGGCTCCCGGGGGAGCCCCCATGTTGGCTAAGGGGAGCGGGGTGCACAGGGTCAGTGTCAAGATACGTCATTGTCCCTGCGCTCCCATCTGAAACAGAAGGAATCTCTCCCATCACCCCTTGTAAGACCAAATGACTCCGAAGCCAGAAAGGTGTCAGAGCTGACCCTGTGGTTCAGGCCCCCAGTAGCCTCTTACCTGTGCCCCCGGCAATCATTCCCAGGTGATGGACCAGTTTATTTTCAGGCTCACTCATTTTGTACGGCTTGATGGCAAACTTCCCTGAAACACAGAGAATACTTCTGACGCCTGAAGCTCTTGACTGAGAGCCTGCAGAAACCTCATGGACGTTTTCCTTGGGATTCCCAGGAAGCAAGTCCACCCAAGGGAGTGGATGCACCATTTTTTGCCAGAGGAGCAAGCCAGAGTGCCCTCTTTGGCCAGCCCAGGTTCACTGCTGCCCAAGGTGGCAGTAGAGCCGGGGTATCCTCGGGGAATAACTGGGCCTTTTCTTCTGAGGAAGGAGGGAGACATGCTGAAGCTAACACGGAGCCTCACACAGCACTCTTACCCAGTGTGAATGAGTGTAAATGATGAGTGTGTGGGTAAAAGGATGAGTGCACTCCACCCACCCACCATCCATCTTTCAGCATTAGCAAGTGCCTTTCGTGTCTCAGGCGTCGTGCTGGAGATACAGTGATGAGGAAACACCAAATCACCCCTGTACCTTCATGATGCTGATAATCTCCTCCAGTGTGAATGAACGTAGGAAGACTTGAGGGAAAAGTCCACGTGACTCAAATCTGAGTAGTTTTCTAGAACCATGTAACAGCCTTAGGGATCTTCCCCCTCCCAGCTAGAGGCCCAGTGTGAACCCCCCAGTACCTGACCCCTGATAGAACAGGCGCCCGGATGGCCCTCGAAAAAGGATGGTGTCCCCAATTTTCATGTTCTCCAAGTACTGAGTCATCTTCCCCCCTTCTGGATGATTAGGGTGTACATTTTTAAAGTAGATCTGAAAAATAAGGCAGCATAGTTTTCATACCTTAGACCCGAGGCCATGGCCACACACAACTCAAAAATCTGTCTGCCACCAGAAACCACGCAGAGAAAATCCTCTGCACTCACCCTAAGCAGCCCCTGAAGACTGCCGCAGGTCAGCAGCTTCACTGTTACGTGACACTGCTGGGAAGCCCTGTCCTGGGCACGTGTTCCTTCCCCACCACCCTGAACAGGCTTGTGAGGGTGACGTGGCTGGACTTGGTAGGCATCATTTACCTTTATGATTAAGTCCACAAAGCCAAGATCATCATCACTGGACACAGGCGTATAAGCCCTGATCACCAAAACATCATCAATTTTGGCCAAGAGATGAACATAGTTACCTACAGAGAAAGCACTAAATGTTACGACCAAGCAGGGCCAGCCTAAACAGGACCCAGGATTGCTCTAAAGGACTGAGCCTGGGATAGGGGCAGGGTGCACAGCGCAGCAGGGTGTATGGGGGGAGGGGCCCAAGTCCAGGACACCCAGATCCTAGGCCTGCTCTCATCACTCCATGTGCAATCCTGGGTAAGTCACTTCACCCCTATGTACTTGCCCTGGTTCCATCACAGTGTAGTGGTGAGCATCACATACAGGAAACCTACCATCAGGGTGTGCTTACTGTGTCAAAGTGCTCTGTGGAGCAGGAAGAGCTAATTAAAGCTGGAGGCTGAATATTAGAAATTACAGAAAGGTGTTTCCCTTTTAAAGCCAAATATGCTGCCTTCCCAAAGTCATTTCTTCCTAAACTGGATGTAGCACTGGAGTCTAGGAAGGAGTCACAGCCCCTCATCTGTACCCCGCTGCCTGGCACAGAGCAGCCTGGGCTCACAGGTACGCAGGACCCCAGGATTCAGACACCCATGGGCCAGGTGTTCCAGCAGGACCACTGTGGCACCATGGTTCTGCTGAAGGGCAGTGGTGAAGTTCTGAACCATGTAATTCTGCCCGTCCAGGGTGGAAATGAACGGACCAGGTGTGGCCAGAGACCTACGAGTCATGACTACATCCCAGCATGACACGGTGAACTGGGCCACTCACATTTCTGTTGGAACATGGGAGACCAGTGACTAAAGCAATTAGTGGTGAAGCAGAAGCTGCAATCGAGAGATGCTGAGAGACAGAAGCAAGGGAAAATTCTGTGTCAGTATCTGAGGGAAGAGAGGCTGTGCCTGCACCAGACAGAGGGAACAGATGTGCAGCCAGAAGTGAGACCTAGGGACAGACAGAGAAGAGGAGGAAAGGGGGACAAGGAGGGAGGGGACACAAGAGGGGCATGAGCTAGAGCCTTTGAGGGACCCTGAAGCCTGAGGCTCAAACACTCTGGGCTCAGAAAGGACAGGCTCGACAAGACCCTGGCTGTGGCGCAGCTGGGCACCTGGGCTACCCAGGAATAATCACCTGAGGCAGCTTCCTGCTGAGAACTAATCTGATACTGGAAACCTTAGAAAGGCTCTTGCAGATCCCACCAACCTGGCCCTGGCCTGGCAGCCACCCCAGAGAAAACGGCCTCATCTACAGCCAGCTTTGCTTCAGCGGAGCTGGGAAGCATGAGCAGTCTCCAGAGGCTCTCCCAGATGCCTCTCAATTAACTGGTCCCCCTAAACTGTGCGCTGCCGGCGCTGAGGACAGAGTGGGTCATGACAGTTTCTAAGATATTCTGTTTCTCAGAGGTTTCCATTCTTTAGCCTTCTCGCCAACAGGACTGACCACACGGGCTGAGCTGGAAGGCAGGCTGATGCTGAGCTCTCACGGCTGAAGACAGAGAGAAGCAGCAGCACGGAGGCTGGGGGGCCAGGCTGGCTGCCTCGTGGGTAATTTCATTGCCTTAAGAGGTGACATCAAGGTTCTGTCCCGTGCACACAAGCCAAGTAGGCTGTGGAAGATATCCATCAGGCAGGCAAGCAGCACTAGCAATCTGTGCAAAGTTCCAGGAAGTAGGCCTAGCAGAGTACTAAGACTGACAGCCATCTGCTGGCAGGACAGATTGGAAACCGGCTAACTCGGAACTCTAGGACTGCTAGGGCTGGTGTCCACAATGGACCCCTCCTTGAGTGGGCGTGAGGCCCCTGCTGAGAAACCACATACTGTGTGTGGTGGGGAACATCTGACTCCCTCCTGCCTCCCAGACATTCTGGACCTTTCTCCTGACTGTATGAGAATGTCAGTTCTTCCCATCCCTCCCATGGGCACAGCACTTTACACTTCCTGAATTTTCACATCCATCAATCACTTAATCCTCACAACAGAAGCGGCAGACAGGCCTTGGGAAACCCCATTTCATAGACTGAGGCTCAGAGAGGTTGAGGGACTTGCCTAAAGTTGCCCAGCAAGGAGCAGGCAACAAGATCTTAGACCTTCTGATGCTAGACTCACTTCTTTTCAATGCTCATTAAGGTATCACTTTTGTGTCAGCCCAAATGGACAATGAAAAAGCGAATGAACTGTCCCCAACCCCCTCTCCCTACCTCTCTGAGCTCATGTGGCTCAGGAAAGGTAGCAGGGCAACCTTTAAACCCCAGCTGAGTTTCTGGCAGCAGAGTGCCTGCAAGGCCCAGGTCCCAGTGATGACACCAAACCCCACTCACCTACAGGAAGCCCTAAGGCGTGGTCTGGTGATGGCAGTCCAAAGCGGAACCTCCGGGTGTTGTGACTGATTTGCTAATAAAACAGAAAACAGAGGCAAGCTCTGTCAGCTTTCTGGAAGCCCTGTTGGGCAGCTCAGATGGGAAAGAGCTCCCAGCAGATACACACAACAGGCAGTGGCAGTGGGGAGCAAACGAGAGGCCACGAAATGCGTGTCCAACTGCCCTGTCTCCCCAGCCGGCACATTCCCCACCACTTGGTCTTCCTCTCGCTTCACCCACCCCACCCCCGACAACAGAGGAGGGCTGAACCATCACCTCTTTCTCAATCAAGGGCAGAGGGTACTTGGTTTCAGGGTCCTGTAAGGTGATAGGATGTCTCCTCTTGAAGTTCATGTTCTTCAGGGCCAACAGGAGCACAGTGACCCCAATAACAGTGATGGCGAGGAGCAGGGCCGGGTCCTACCAGACACAGTGTGAGCAGGGCACCTCAGGTCCTGCCTGTTCCGGACAGGATTGCTCTCAGGGGCAGCGGCACCCTCCCCACCAAAGGCGTGTATGAAGCAAGGCTGTGCCTGAAAGAAACTAGGCAGAGGTAAAGGTACTACAACAGAAGACAGGCTGAGCCTGTGGTGGAGGGTGGGGAGGGGTCAGCTGCAGATCAGACAAGGCAGGATGTTTCAAACCCCCAGGCAGACGGCCCAGCAGTCCTAACGTCACCGGGCCTTTCCTGCCCATCTGCCTCCATCCCGGCTACAGCCAAGGTGCAAGCCCTGGGAGCTCCCTCCCTGAGGCAGAGTGGGTGAGGATGCTGCTTCTGATTTGGAATGAAGGCGACAGGAGATGATCTGCTGAGAGCTGAGAGGGCTGGGGCTCGCCTCCCCCACTCCCCCTCCAGGTCTGGCTAGGGCAGGTGTAGGGGTGGGGTGAGTACATCTGTCACCAGAGCTGCTCCAGGTCTTTGCTGAAAACCCATCACCCCTCACCTTTAGCAGGAGTGTCCTTGCTCAAAACCTGCCAAATCCCACCTCGCCACCTTTAGCAGGAGTGAACATAAATCTTGAAGTTAAATGGTCCAGAGATAAGAAACAAAGCTACTCACACAAAAAAAGAAAAGACAGATGCAACCAGCTGGACCAAGATGGGACAAACCTGACCTCCAACAGATTCTGAGTCTTATTACATGTTCATTTTACTATATTAGCATAATAAGTGACAGGATCAGACATGAAGGACAAAAAAAGGATTAAAAAAAAAGGGGGTAGCACTTGACTCCCTGAAAAAGCCCTGCCCCCTCCCCAGGGGACTAATACATGCATTAGCTCCATCATTAGCCTCACTCCTCCTCCCTTTGTCTTTACTCTTTAAATCCCTCTCACCAGGTGGGTGAGAAGTTGATCTGTGAACTTAGTCCCTACTTCTCCATTCTTTGGTCACTGAATAAAGCTTGTGCTTTACTGATCTCAGCCTCGATTTCAGTATTCGCCTACTGGAACCTGAACAGAAAAGGAACCCTCCTAGCCAAGACAGAGAGCCTCGGCCGGGTTGGGGCCTGAGCAGGGTCCATATGACTTAATTCAGTCACTAATTTTGGTGCCCAGTGTGGGGGCCCATTCTTTCCAGTAACTCAAAAGTTTACTCACTGACCCAGAGTCGACAAAGCTGGCTAAATAACTGGGCAGTCTGCCCCCAGTTCTCAACCTATGGGCCAGTGAGGGCTACCAACTTACACTTGAGATGGAAAAGCAGCCAAGGATCCAGTGGAGTGCTCCCCAGTAAAGACAACGCCCACTCCCAAGCATACCTACAACAAGGACGCGTGTTACCATTTGAGGTAGTGTCCAGGGGATGTTTGACACGGGGGGTGCAAAAAAACATAAACCCGGAGTTCACAAAAACACAAAAACAAAAAGTTTACCAAAAAAAAAAAGTTTAAACAAAATAATGTAAACCCAGAGTCAGTGGACGGGCAGGCCATTCTTAAGAGCCATTTTATTTCCCAGAGTGCCCTAGACATTAGGAGAAATTCACAAAAGTTGACGATAGGACCCACCATGCCCACTTCCCGGCTGGTGGAATCAGTATTTTGGGTGTTCAACAACAGAGAGACAGAGGTGGATGCAAAGGAAGATAAAGAGTGGAATGAACTGCCAGTATTCTGGCTTTAGCGATTCAGGGTCAATCGACCCCGACCTCCCAGGGATGACCCCAACCCCCACCCTGCAAAGGGATGAACTGATTGCCTTGGGTTTCAAAGACCATGCCCACAGTGGAGAGAAGGTCTTAAAATCAATCACTGTGCGCACTGCATGGAGGAGGGTCATTGGAAGGGGAATGCCCCAAATGTCTTAGAAGGAAACTAAGTGGACCACCATATCCTGGCCTATTCTCACTGGCTGCACACATAAAAGAAGAAAAAGAAGATTGTAGGGGCCCAGGGGCTCCTCAGAGAACCCTGGAAATCACCCCCAAGGAGCCATGGCTGACCCTGACCACAGTGGGTAAAAACGTTGACTTTTTCGTTGACACAGGGGTTTGAACACCTGACAAAGCAAAATAACCAAGATAAAGGTAAGACCGTGAGAGTGGAAGGGAAGTCACAGGAGTGCAATTTCATAGAGCCCCTTGAGTGTGATTTCAAAGGGAAAATGGTACCTCACTCTCATATGTTCCAGAATGCCCAATTCTTCTAACAGGAAGAGAATTACTACATAAATTGGGAGCTACAATTTATCTCAGAGACAAAAATATCATATCATATACCACATCAGAGTGAAGACAGCACCTACACCTGAGGAAGAAGTTACTGAGCCACTCACTCAATACCACCTGTGAACCTGTCACAGCTCTTAAGTTACTTTTCAAGAGGACAAACTTACCAATAAATAAGTAATGTGGTAGCCAGGCTTCGTAGTTGGCCTTGGTCTTGGTATTGCCTTACTCGGCTTCTACTATTTTGCCTGGCCCCCCTCTCTCAGGCAAACATCTCTTCTGTCTATAGGGGATATTAATATTGAAAGCAGGATGACTAGCTGTTGTTTATTCTTAACTCTGTCCTGTCTCCTATAATTGTCCACGCAGAATGGGAATGCAATGCAGTAGTAAATCTCTCAAGAATCATAGCCCTGTCCACCCCCCAAAAAGAATTACAGCCCATGGACAAAATCTTTCCCAGTGCTGGATCTGTCACCTCTGCCCTCAAAGTGACACCTATGGATGAAAGATACTACATTTTATCCCTGAGAAGGACAACCTCACTCTTACCTTGGCTAACGGTTCTGCTAAACCTATCCCTTTTAAAGCTACCTTCCCATCCCTAGTGCAGCTTCCCTGCTTGGACCTCACCCTGGCATTAACATTTCTAACAAATACAAAGCACTCACTCTAAACCAGTGCCATCACTCTAACCCATCTTGCTGCCACTGCCCCTATCAAATGCCCTTACCAAAGGGAAGAACTTGCAATACCACCTTGGGGCTGCCCTGGACTGCAATCAATGCTCCTTCTATTACTCCACAATTTCAGTGCTTCGGGATTGACTCCTAGGGATATCTCACCCATTGGTGCCCTCAGGAACGATTCAATGAGTACACACAAGGACTAAAGGGGAGACGTACACACTGAGGAGAGAGAACACTGGTCGTCTGGTGTTTAGTATATGGCCCTCCTAAGGCCAGGGAAATAGCCACTAGTCCAGAATCCCCCAGGGACCTCTGCTATGCAGATGCACCTCTCTCCCCACACTGCAAGGGCATCCCCTCTTGGGCCAGCCACCTACAGAGGTGGTTTACCTCCCCAGAAGTGCACCAGGCATGCACGCTCCCTGGGTACCTGTTCCTTTGTGGCCCAGAATAAACCAACTGCCCCATCATAACAACCCCAGCTCCTCCTTCCCTTCTCTGGGATGGGCTCTAGCCTATCCTTGTTTAGATAATGCCCGAGTTGGTTGACAATGCACGCTGCTAGGCCTGCTAAGTTCTGGGAACCTAGGTATACCATTCATAATGTCACCCAGCCCGAGATAAAAGCGCAAGAGGACTCATTCTGGCAGAAGTCGGGGTTGCTTTCAGACTAGAGACCCCACTTTACAAAAATCTCAGAAGGGCCCTTGAGGACTTGTCTAAAAATATGGGGGTTGCCTTACAAGGCCTCCGTACTTCTCCGGACCCACTAGCAAATGTTCCCGACAACAGGCTGGCCCTTGACTATCCCCTGGCTGAGCAAGGGGGGCAGAGTATGCACAGTTATTAATAAAACCTGCGGCACGTATGTCACTAACTGGTCAGATTGAGGCAAACATTAAAAAAGATATGTGAGTAAGCTCAATGGTTACAGACATAACACAACAGTCCAAGCTCCATCTGGAATATGCCTAATATTCCCCTCCCCCCATTTCTCAGCTCACTAATTGCTATTATCCTCCTGCTTATCTTCGGGCCTTGCTTAACTTTGTTAGTAAAGAGCTTGAAGCCATCAAACCTCAGATGTTACTAACACAAGGGTACAAGCAATTGGGACTGCAGACTGGCAACAATCAGACTTATTTTAGGGTAATGAGGGAAGACTTCTGCTCCTCTAATCCAGGGAAAAACTTTCCTGTGTTCAGCAGGAAGCAGCTTCAGAGGTGAGACCTTCACTCTTTAGCGCCTCTCAAGGAGGAGCAGTAACAAGGAAAGGGGGGATTTTGTTGCCAGAGCTGCTTCACGTCTTTGCTCAAAACCCATCAAACCCCACCAGTAGCAGGAGCGTTCTTGCTCAAAATCTGCCAAACTCCACCCCCACCTTTAGCAGGACTGAACATAAATCTTTAAGTTAAAGGGTCTGGAAATAAGAAAGGAAGCTAATAACAAAAAAGGATAAAACTAAACGGAACCAGCTGGCCCTCCAACAGACCTTCAGTCTCATGTATTAACTTTACTCCATTAACGTATTCAATGATATACCTACCATCAGCCAGGACCAGACATTAAAAACCAAATAAGGATAAAGGGCTGGCACCTCACTCTCTTAAAAAAAAACTGTCTGTCCCCAGTAGACAAATGCACATGCCTCCCCATCATTAGCCTCACTCCTCCCTTTGTCTTTACTCCGTAAAATAAAATCCCTCTCGCCAGGTGGGCGAGGTTGATCTGGGAACTTAGTTCCTGCTTCTCCATTCTTTGGCTAATGAATAAAGCTCATCCAGTATTGATCTCAGCTGGAGTTGGGTTACTAGCCTACTCCAACTAGAGAGAAAAAGGACCCTCCCCCGCCTCCCTCCCCAACCCACCCCCAACCCAGTCCGGGCAGAGAGCTGGCCTAGAGCTTCTGCAGGGTCCACAGGGCTTAATTCGTACACCACTGACTCCGAGGTACTCCATTACCTTAGCGCCTCAGGACACACCAACACTCTCCGAGGCACACGAACAAGGCCTGAGCCCTCACCTACCAGAGGCTGGGCTGGCCTCCCCCATCCAACCCCCAACCCCTCCACCCCGCAGTCGTGCCCGGCCTGCTCCGCTCGGGCCGGCCAGCCCCAGCCGGATTTGGGAGAGGTGGGGTCCGCCCGCCCTCTTCTCACGCCGGGGCGCCGACCCCGCCCCGCTCCACGCCTCCTCCGGCTCCGCCCCGGCGGCCCAGCGCCCGCCCCGCTCCCAGCCCCTCACGGGCCCGCCGTCGTCGCCGGGCCCTGTCGCCGGGCCCTGTCACCGGTCCCATCCCGGCCCTGGCGCCCGGGAAGCTTCCGCCCGGCTTCTGCCTGCCCCCGCGTCTCTGGACTCTTCCCGCCGGGTCGTCCCGCCGCCGTGAACTCACCCGGAACGAGACGCCGAACATGTCGTCGAAGTGGCGCTGGCTGCGAGGCCGGGCTGGGCCGACGCCGCGGACGCACTAGGCCGGAATCCGCGCCCAGCCCGGGCGCAGGCGCGTGGCGCGCGTGGCGGCACCTACCTCGAGGGCCGGTGTCTGGAGATTCTCGCGGGACTTGGGCTCTGCTCCGGCCCTGCCCCCGGGGCCGCCGAATCCTGGGCCTTCCACGGCGGGACCCAGGCCCCACGGGGAGCTGCGGGCTTCCTCGCTCCTTGTTTTGCATCCCTTGTTTATTACGTGGCTCTCTTTCCATCCTGGTCCTCCTGGCGCACACTCTGAGCAGCCGGAGAACTCCGCTTAAGTTGTGGCAAGGCTGGAGGAAGGGGATGCTGGTCAAAGACATGGGAATTCAGGCCAAGTCAAAGAGCACAGAAATATACGCAGTCGACACTAATGAGTTCCTACTGAGCCTGGTCCTCGGGTCAGGTGTTTGTGGAGATGGGGGTGTGATCCAGTTAAAGGAAACTTTCTTTCAAAGCGCTCATTCGTTCTTTCGCTCTCTACTGGGAGAGAGAGATAACAGGTACCTAACACATGTCCAAAGAAGAGGCAGAATGAGAGGCATAAACGGTTATGGGGGTTCCTCACAGCACATTTCAGAACCTTAGTAACTCCCTTCCCCATCACTTCTCCCACCGCCAGTGGCAAAGGTGAATCCCTGCCTCCAGGCCTAAGTGAGACAGAGAAGCCAAGAATCGAACACCCACCCCCAGGAACACATCACCACAGGCACAGGCATAATGGACACCCCCCCCAACCTCCCCAACACCTGCAGGTGCCAGGATGTTATTGCCAGATACCTTCATTTCTGGCACTCTATTAAGTGTAAAATGAAGGCTTGGGAAATAATTTCATTACCTAATTGCTAAGGAGGTTGAACACATTTCATGGGTTTATTTACCCTTGGAATTTCTTTGGAAAAAAAATGCCAGCTTATGAATTTTGCCCATTTGTATACTGAGTTGGCTTTTTTCTTACAGATTTTTAGGATTCTTATATATATATTCTATAGCAATTCTTTGCTAATTATATCAGATACAAATGTTTTCTCCTGGTAAGCAATTTACTCTTCCCTTCCTTCTCTTTCTGTCTTAGGATGAACAGAAGTATGTAATTGTAATGTAGTCAAGTGCATCAATCTTCAATCTTTTGCTTTTATAGTTAGTGCTTTTTGTGACTTGTCTATTCCTACCCAAGTTCAAGATACTCTATGTTTTCTCTGACAAGGCGAAGTATTTTCCCATTTACTTTTATGTCTCTCAGCCACCTGGAATTGATTTCTATGTATGATGTGAAGCAGGGATCCGGTTTAATTTTTTCTATATAGATAATGCGTTGTCTTGGTGACATTTATTGAATTGCTCATACCTGGTCACTAACCCGCAATGCCACCCCAGTTGTGTATCAGTTTTCGTATATGTGTGAGTCTGGTTCTGGCCTCCCTGTTCCCTTACATTGATCTAGTTGCCCAGCCCCTCTGACAATACCATACTTCTCTAATTACAGTAGTTAATAACAACCGTTTATATCTTTCCCTCTTATTTGGGTCTCAATTCAAATGTTACTTTCTTAGAGATGACTGTTCTGATCCCCCAATTTAGCTGTTTCTTTGGTTTGAATTCATCTCAGCCCTGCAGTATTTAGCACACTGCCTGGCAAGAGCAGGTGCTCATAAATACTATTCATCATCGATGCTCCATAAATACTAAAGAAAGGAACTACCCTTTCCATCAGTACTCTCTGCACCTTCCTTGCTTCATTTGTCTCTGTAGGACAGATCACCAGATGCAGTACTTCATCGCTTACCTACTTGCTTGTCTTTCCCTTCCCACCAGAACATAAGCTCCACGAGGACAGGAATTGCTTTGTCTGTTTTAACTCCTGCTGGATCCCAGGACTGGAACAGTGCCTAGCACCTGGTAGATGCCTAGTAAATACTTACAAACTTCATGGTCTTCCTTTGATTCAATCAAAATATGTTTTGCTTTGGAATCTAAAGGTGCTTCACTGTTTTTCTATGGCTTTGTTAGTACTTTGCCTCCATCCTCCCTTCTCACGTTCCCTGCATGGTCCCTCTGTGTTGTTACAGGGGAAGATGGCACATCATGCTTTGTTAATCTTGGAGCAGGACGAAGGCAGCCATTTCCCTGGGCTCCCCGTAATTTTGAGGGGGCAATGATTTCCTTCTCTCCCCAGCACTCCCACACACTTTATGTGTGTCCCTCATGTGCTCGAGTGCTGCCCAGATTTTGGCTCATCTCCTAATCTGAAGTAGACCATGAGCCTATGTCTTACTCCCTTTATCCCCAGCTCAGTAATAGAGCCTGGCAAAGAACAGGCCCCCGGCAAGTGTTTGCTGAAAAAAGAAAGAACAGATGCTGCTTGTCACTGTTTGAGCACATATGACAGTATCGAACCTCTGTCACTGCTGAGACACCCTGGAGGAAACTGGTGCCCTGACCAGGGATGCTCATAATGTATGCTCCTTCAATTTCCAGGCTGTTGTGGGCCTTTCATTAGCTTTTAACTTTGATGATGATTTATTTTGATTTTCTCCTCTGACCAAAGCAGCACCTCTAGCCATTTGAAGCTTCAGTTATGGTAGGCTCAAATACAGCCCCCCAAACATAACCACATCCTAAATCCTAGAACCTGTGAATGCTGTCTTATATGGTAAAAGGGACTTTTTGGCTGTGATGAAATTAAAGATCTTGAGTTGGGGAGACTATCCTGGATTGTCTCGTGGGTCCCACATGATCAAATATTCTTTATAAGAAGGACACTGTGGCAGGGGACAGAGAATAAGGTGATGTGATGACAGAAGCAGCAAATAGAGTGGCAAACTCTGAAGATGGAGGAAGGGACCAGAAACCAAGGAATGTAGGCACCTCTAGAAGCTGAAAAGGGCAAGGGAAAAGATTTTTTCCTTAGAGCCTTTGGAAGGAACCAGCCCTGCTGACACCTTGACTTTAGCCCGGTGAAATTGATTTTATAATTCTGGCTCCCAGAACTGTAAGAGAATAAATGTGTGCTGTTTAGTGCCAGTAGATTTGTGGTAGTTTGTTACAGAAGCAATGGGAAACTAATACACTAAATGAACTCTTGTTTTTGATTCTTAGGGCTTATTAATATTTGGATTTATTCCAAAAATATATTCCCTGTGATTTGGATCAGAGAAGGCAGGAGGTACCTTCCCCTCTGGTCCTGATGCTCCCATTGCTCTAATGATGGGTTTCTTTTCTAACATGAATAACCTCCCTCAGCACCTCCTGCCGCCTGGCCACATCTTGAGCTTGCTGTCTCTGCCTGGCCACTTGAGAGGTCCACCCACCCCACCCCTTCCTCCGCACCCTGGCTCCGGCCTGTCCTCTGTTCATTGTGCAAAAATGTCATCCTCAACAAAGGACCTCAGCAAACAAATCTAGTTGACTGGGGTGAATTTTAGGAGAGAACGCAGATGGAGCATCGAACTCACTCCAAGCAACCAACCATGACCGAGGCAGACTATTACTTGAACTGAAGTTTCCTAGATTTTCCTCTTTAAGGATTTTAAACTGTAGTATCCTGATGCCACCTGATCAGAACTCCCCACTGAGCACTGCAGATGGACATAAAGCAAAGGTAACGCTTTGCTTTTTGGAATATCTCAAACTTGGCTTGTACGACAGGAATGTGGCAGGGAAACTTTGCATGTTCTTGGCAATCTGGGGCTGACTTAAGCCTGACGGGATAAGACTATGTAGACAAGATGCTCGAGACACTAGGAATGGCCAGAATTTGCCAGAAACATTGTGTTTGGGAGGACTCAAAAGAACAGCTTGCAGAGTCCTATTCCCGCCATCCCTCCCACACCCAGAGGAATCCTCCCTGAGCATCTCTGTCTGCAGAGCTATGCCAACAATGCGAACTAAGTTCCCCCACCAGTGTTTACAGCAGTTGCTTCAATTCTTCCCAAACAGCATCTGTTGTGCCAGGGGCTGGGTTAGAGCTCCAGAAGGTAGTATGTAATTGTGAGTTCACAGCTTGGGCTATGGAGACAACAGGGAGTAAATAGGACAGCCAGTGCAACTTCTGGGAGAGAGTCCCACCTGCACAGATGGGTGAGGCTGCCAACCTGGGACGGGAAGCCTCAGACCTGTGTTAAGAGAAAGGCTGGCCTCCAGGAAGGGGGAAGGGGAAGATGTCCAAAAGAAAGAAATGAAAGAAGGCATTCCTATCTCCTACTTGAACACAACCAGGACGTTGGCTGTTCACTAATTTGTCCCAGCCTCTACTTCCTTGTCCCTTACAGGGACAAAAGCAGGAGATTTTCTGAAAAGAGTTTTGTTTGTAGGGGCAATTTCTATTTTTTAAAAAAAGCAGGAATAAGTGAAGATATAACAAATTGGGCTAAGGCCTCCATTCAGAGTCATTATAAAACCTTCTTTATCATTGAACTGTAGGGTTTACAAAGCATTTCCCACAGTGGAACATGTCTCCTCTGAAATTACTGTGATCCTTTACGACCACTTTAGTTTGGATAAAGAACCTCCGAAGGATTCCAAGCCTTGTCCAAGATCACATAGCCTGAAAAAAGCAAAGCTGGGACACAGGCCCATGTTTCTGAGTTCAGCCTGATGTCCTTCCCCTAGACCACGGCAACCTGTGGTACAGTCAACGCATAATGTCCGTGATGCCATGCAAACTTAAACTCAATCCCTGACTTCCAATTTCAAGAAATGCTCCATTTGTCAGCTGCCAAAGCTAAGGCCCAGAGATGTCAAATGATGCTTTTGGAGAAAGGGCTGTGATTGGATCATTTGTATTGAGATTTCAGCCTTTTGCAGCCTGCAGTTTGTTTAAGAGCAAGTGTAAGTTTCTTCCATGGTGGAAGAGATTTCAGAAAGTATAGAAATGTAGAAAAGGCACCTCTTTTCTCTGTCTTTCCTCCTGTTACTGTGTATCACCTGCTGTGTTCCCATCAAAGTTCTCTTCCTCTCTTATCTGCTAAGGAACATTGCCCCAGCAATTCTTCCATCTTTCTCTTTCATGATCAGTTCCTCTTCTCTACTTGATAATTCCTGGCAGTGTAT